GTGGCACTCCGCAGGTCAGGGCCATATTATCTGAGACATAGTTTCCAATCTCCACACAGTACTTCCTTTCTTCTAGATAGGACCTAAACCAGCTTAGGGCGGTACCAGCAACACCAACCCAGTCCTCCAGTCTCTGCATGAGAATCTCATGGTCAACGGTGTCGAAAGCGGCACTCAGATCTAACATGACTAAAACAGAGACTTTTCCTGCATCAGTGTTAAGCCGAATATCATTTGTTACCTTGACTAGAGCGGTCTCAGTACTGTGGTGTGGTCTAAAGCCAGACTGAAACATGTCAAATGAGTCATTAGATATTAAAAATTCAGTAAGTTGTTGGTAGGCAACTTTTTCAAGAATTTTTCCCATGAAAGGCAGATTTGAGATGGGACGGTAATTTTCAAGTACCGCAGCATCCAAACTGCTCTTTTTTAGGAGGGGCCTAATGACTGCCTTTTTCAGGGCCATTGGAAATGTTCCAGATAAAAAAGACATGTTTACTATTTGTGTCAATGAGGGTAATAGACTACACATAACAGACTTCAGAAATCTAGGAGGTAGTACATCCAGACTGCAGGTAGAGGAACTAAGACCTGTGATTATCTTTTTAACAGTTTCATCATTGACAGGTGCAAATTGAGCTAGCTCACAAAGCCTCACTGGATGTTGCATTGTTACTTGTGTTGTAGAGGTGATGGCATTTCTGATACCCTGAACCTTGTCTCTGAAGAACTGTGCAAACTCATTACACCTGGATTTGGAGTAGTGTTCTAATGGCAACTCAACAGGGGGGTTCGTTAATCTATTGATTGTTGAAAATAGAACACGCAGATTGTTGCTGCAGCCTTCAATAGTTTCAGAAAAGTATAATTCTCTTGTTCTACGTAGTACTCTGTTAAACTCACACAACTTCTCTTTTAAGAGTCTATAATCACCCTGGAGGTTGGACTTTCTCCACTTTCTCTCTGCTCTCCGGCACTCTTGCTTCTGTGCCCTGACCGGGCCTGCTTTTATCCATGGGGCTTTTTGCTTATTTGTGACCATTTTTACCTTCACAGGGGCAATGGCGTCCAGAACATTCAACACACTAGAGGTGACAGAGTTAAGCAGTTCATCTACAGTAGAACATGATGTGTTCTCAAAATGGATCATTCCCATAAATAGTTCACCCGTGTTTTCATTTAAGTGTCTACTTCTAACAATTTCATATTTAGCGGGTGGTCTGGTAGCAAAACACATGTTAAAAAATACACAGAAATGATCCGACAGAGCAACATCAACTACATTAACTTTTGAAATATTCACCCCTTTCGTGATAAGCAGGTCCAAGGTGTGTCCTCTGCTATGGGTGGGGCCACTCACATGCTGAGTGAGGCCAAAGGATTCAAGTATGGAACTCAGCTCTTTTGCGTATCTGTCATTAACATTATCCACATGAATATTAAAATCGCCTATAATGACTAAACCATCAAAATCTGTGCACACAACTGAAAGCAACTCAGTGAAATGATCAGTGAAACTATGGCATGACTGTGGCGGCTTGTACACAACAATAATAAGAATGGAAGAAGATTTCTTTTGTTCTATTTTAAAAGAAACATACTCAAATGATGAAAATTTCCCAAGAGACACCCTATGGGAGACAATACGATCTTTAAAAACTGCTGCTATGCCCCCCCCCCTTTTATTTTCTCGTGTTTCATATTCAAATTTGAAATTTGGTGGTGAGGCTTCTATTAAAACTGCATCTCCTGTATTATGGTCAAGCCATGTTTCAGTCATAAACATAAAATCAAGATCATACGAACAGATAAAATTATTAATTAAAAATGATTTGTTGCATAGTGATCTGACATTAAGTAGAGCAAGGTTAAAATTAATATCAGTGTCAGTGGGTTTAGTTGATTGATTACAAAGAACTGGAATTAGATTTCCAGAGTTGGACCGTCTAACTGCTGTCCTTCTTTTAAATTTGTGTTTATTCAAGTTAAAACACATTTCTGAGCTGGTGCGAGGAACACACACAGTCTCTATTGGTTTAAAAAGTGAACTCTGTTGTACTTTGTTAAGTTCCAGATGCATAACTGAGTCAGCACAGTTCAGTGGCAGGACTGTCGTTACACTGCCAGACGGACAGGGGTCAGTGTTTGCACCACAGTACTCACCCGGTGCTGGTAAGGAAGAGGAGGGGGGTGGTGGGGGCCGAGAAGCCTCGGATGTAAACAGTCACGCCCCCCTCGGGGAGCACTGAACAACATGGCGCAGGAAGTCCGTCAACAAACTGGTGCCGTATCTGTTCGGGTGCAGACCATCTGGACGATAGGCCACGTGACGCTTCCAGAACAGGCCAAAGTTGTTCACAAAAATAAAGTTAAAAGTGCTGCATGTAGACTGGAGCCACATGTTGAGCGCCACAACGCGACTGTAGAGGCAGTCACCCCGGGTTACAGTCGGGACTGCTTACCAGAGTTAAAAACACACAACCGGAGGAACTGGGAGGAGGCGGAACAGATTCATAAAGTGCTTCTTTGTGACCTCTGACTGCTGCAGCTTCATATCATTTATTACCCACATGCACGATTACCTTGGATATGGTATCGGGCAGGGAGTGAAGCAGAGGAGGGAGACGGAAGAGCAGATCTGGGACTGTAGCTCCAGTAATGCAGTGAGTGACCGCGTTAAAAAAGCGGACGTGCCTCCGATGGAATCTCCAACGATCAGAGTAGTTGGGGCGAAAAGTGGACGCGGCCGCGGAGAGGCGCTCGGTGTCCATGGCCAGAACCAGCGGGCTCATCCAGGGATGGGTCCGAACCAGGGCGCTGCTGAACACATGGAGGGGAGTGGGGGTGTTGATTCCCAGCTCCAGGGCAACCCACGCTGTGTGCTCGGGGACGGCTGGAGCGGCGTGAGGAGCAGGCTCGGGTCGCTGCTGCTGACCCGGTGAAGGTAAGTGGTGGTAAATTGTCTATTGTTTACACTGAAATGTCTATTCTATCCTCTGGCCAGTGGCATCATTTAACATTATTATTTTATATTACTTTTGTGCATTTTTGTCTTTGACCTGTGAGAATTTTAATTCATGTTTCTGTTCCGGCCAACTTTTCACTGGAACATGTTGCTGGACTCTCCACACGACCTTGAAGCAGCTCTTTGCTATGTAAACTATGCTAATGCAATGCTAAATTATTTCGGTTTAAGTGGACATAATACAAAAGGATTTGGGTTATGTACAATATTTAGCCAAATGACTGTGAATAGGCAGAAATAATGGAAAAAACCTTGTAAGCGGTTTCATTACTCTTTGCCTGGAGGGAACATAACGTATGACCATGCTGAAGAACATACAAAAAACTCTCACTTGAGTCGCATGCGTACCTTCTTTAATTATAATGATATCTTTATTTCTGGAAAAAAGAACCCAACACAAGCAAGAGCTGGCGCCACCTTGTGCTGGTTGCTCAGGTTCATTTCACTGCAACTCCTGTGTAAGGTATCCCACAAACGCAGACTGATCCAGAAGTTTGTAGACCAGGGTGTACATTTGGATGTAAGCAAAGATCTCCAAAATTTAGGGTTTAAAGCTAAGTACTTTTGTCCAGGGGATAGATAATTTTTTTCTCCCATACGTCATGGACTAACCATCATCAGTTAAGGGAAAAAGAACCCAACGTGCACATGAAAGGAACACATCCAATATTGAGATTTCAGACATTCTCCAAGAAGTGAACTGATGGATCTGCTTTCGAGGCAATGTAACGTAACTCCTTGATATATTATTCCTCGTCAACCAGGTGCCATTCATTCACTGGTGCCAACGTGACATTTCTTTTCAGTCTCAATAAAGACACTATACCACAGCTCATCATCACATCCCAGCCTGCATCATTCCTCTTAATCATGTGTTACACCCGGCTGTGGCATCGGTGCAATGACTGAGCGCTCCAAATGTGCCCTCATTCTGTTCCATCCGGCCTGCTGTTTGTGAGATGACCTGCAGAGTGACCTATTTTCCTAATAAATTGTGGGCTTTCAAACACAGTGGCAAGGTCACGACATGGTGTTAATGGATTGTTCTGAATATATGGGTTTTGAAACTTTGGGGTTTCTATCCATATTCTCTGGAACTGATTTGTCTTTGTCCAAATGTAATCTTCACTATCTCAAACATTCTGAGCATTCCTTTTCAGCAAGCGGGTTTACAAGCACTTTTCACAGACTGTCAGAGTTTTTGAGTTTAACCTGGAGGTAAGATCGAGAAGATGAAGCCAAGATGGCGTCACACCTTGTTTTCCACAATCTAACAATGGCGCATCAAGACAAAGGCGCATGTCTTTGTACAGTGTCTGGTATTCAAACCACTGTTCTGTCTTTTTACGACCACGGATATGAATTCTGTTGGTTAAAAAGTGGTAGCAAAAATGATAGTCACTGTTTTTTTTGTTTACAAATGAACAAAAAAGTGTTGCGTTACATATTAGTTAATACTTTGTGGAACCCCCTCTGCTCCAAATTACTGATGCAAGTCTCTTGGGGTATGTCTCCACCAACTTTGTACAGCTAGAGACTAAAATTGTTGCCCTTTTTCTTCAAGCTCCATTAAACAGAATGGTGAGGTTTGTGAACAGAGTAAATAATGATGTCATCGAGGTACACCAACAACGACTCAGCTATTTGACCATTTAAGCATTGCTGCATGAGGCGCTGGAAGGTGGCCGGGGCATTACATAGACCGAAAGGCATGCGTTCAAATTCAAATAAACCCAGTGGAGTCGTAAAAGCAGTCTTTTCTCGATCCTCTGGGTGCATTTCCACTTGCCAGTAGCCGCTGGCGAGATCTAGGGTCGAAAACCACTCCGATTTGCTCAGTCCAGTTAAAGTCTCCTCTATCCTGGGCAACGGGAAGGCATCTTTGTGTGTGACCGCGTTTAACCTTCGATAGTCGACACAAAAGCGCCAACTCCCGTCTTTTTTACGCACCAGGACTATGGGCGCAGCCCATGGACTACAGCTCTCTTATTACGCCTTGCTGCAGCATACCTGAGAGTAGTGACTTTACTTCCTTGTACAGGAGAGGGGGGACAGGCCGGTACCTCTCTCGAACTGGGTCAGCGTTTCCAGTGGGTATCCGGTGCTGGACAATGTTTGCTCGTCCAAAGTCCTCCTCATGTTGTGCGAACACCTTCCCCCACTTGGCTAGCAGGGCGCGCAACTGCTCCTGTTGTGGCTCAGACAGATCAGCCCGCTCACTTAAATCTACCACGCCTGGGGGCCGTTCTACGTTCATTTGGGCTTCTGCAAAGTTAACTAGGGCTACCTCAACAACCCCATCTTCGACTAGGGACAACGACAGATCGTCTACTCCATGCACATCACCAGCCTCAACACTAAACAGCCGGCCCAGCCTCTCAAACCGATTTATCGTGACACTGTATGGGTGGGGGTTACACACACGAACAGGTAGTCGACCCTTCTTCACCTCCACCAGGGTTTTTGCCACACCTACTCCACAATCACCAGGCATAGCCTCCACCAGTGCACAATAATTTGAACTACAGGGCCCCACTTTTGCTCGCCCCCACACTAACAGCTCGCTCCTAGGGGGAACTATAATGCTGCGCTTGGAGGCCAGCCTTATATGACCCAACAGCCCATCACTAGTTGGGATTGCCTCTATACGGGAACAAGTGCTGAAAGCATCTCTCCACACCTTCTGCTGTTTGAATTGCTGCGAGAGTGTAGATGTTCTGGGGCATCGAAACACTATATCCCAACAGGCTACAATCACATTCATGCCAATTATGAGCGGATGAGTACAGTTTTTGTCCTCTACGATCACAACCCCTCTGTCAAGGACCTTTACACCCTCAACCTCTACATCAAGGACAGCATAACCAATGTAGGGTATCTGGAGCCCATTCGCTGCCCTAAGATGGAACAAGTTGGGGGGCCTGCCAAGCTGTGCCTCGGAGAAGTGCATGTTAAACAGGCTCTCAGACATTAATGTAACTTGAGACCCAGTATCTAACAGCCCCTTCAAAACTACACCCTCAAAATTAACCTCAATGTGGGGGCATTGACCTACAAACTTTTCAGTGGCCCTGGTTGGTGCTGGCATGTTTACAAGCCCTGCTGCTTGGACCTCAGCGGCAGGGGAATCTAGTTTAAATTCTGTTCACGCGTAGCTTCGGCCCTACAGTATCTTGCTATGTGTCCCGCCCTCCTGCAATGGTGACAGATGGGCCTACCTCGCTCGTCCCGGTCGTTGTAAGGTGTGCGCCGTGGATTTGTCCAAGGGGAGGTGGGCTGGTTGTGCATCGGGGGTGCTTGAAATTGCCTTAGCTCTGTAACGATTTCACGTGAGAGCCCCTTCATCTGCGCCTTTACTTCCTCCATGATCTCCCGTTTCAGTTGGTCTTTCCACAGCTCATCTGGGAGCGGCCTGGGAGAAGCATATTGTTTATTTACAGCAGAACACGTTACCTCAGATGAAGCAGGGCCATAACCTGGCAAAAGCCAGATTGATGATTGTGTAGAACTCTAACGCGTTCTCCGCGATATCAATCTGGGATTTCTCCCGGAGAATCCTTTCGGGGAAAGGAGGGGTAAGCAGCAGAATACTTGAAGCTGATTGGGCGAAGTGACGCTGTGTGCCCGCCTACCAAGGTTGCCGTCCAGAAATGTACAAAGCGCCTCTCGCTGTTCATCTTTCAAAAAAGAAATTGGAGATTCTGCTAAAACTGACTTTGCGTCCGTCCTCCTGCGTAGCCATGTTTGTTTTGCTTCGGCCCGGCACTCTTGCTTTCGTCAAACCCGGATATCCCGCCCTAAACCCCCAGACTGGCGCGTGATTGGCTCGCACACCCAGTGGTTCGACTCGAAAAGTGTAAGCGGGAGCGGTACAAGATGTATTCTCGAGTGTTTGTGAACTCACAAATACCGCGAGAATTCAGCTTGCAGGCAAGGTTAGCAGGGCCATATTCAGAGTCCAAAAGGAGGGCCTCTTTACGGAGCGCAGCAAAGTCTTCATCCGGGTTGCGGCGTGCGTAGACCTTCAGCGCCTGGGCTAATGGACCCTCCCGGAGTCCGAGCAGCAGTTGGTCTCTTAAGGCACTATCTGAGGGGGGGTCATGCTGGTCACAACGTCGTAGCTTACAATGGAGCTCACGCAGTCTCAAAATAAATGACGGAACAGTTTCATCCACTTTCTGATTGCAGCTAAAAAACTGGGCCCTTAAAACTGGTGTCGAAATCTGTTCCCCATAAAGCAAATCTAACTGAGCAAACACTTTTCGAGTCTGATCCTTCTCATCAGTATCCAGCACCGAAATTTGACGTTTAGCTTCCCCGGCAAGCGCTCCCAACACAATTTCGACTTTTCTAGCCTCAGGCATTTCCTGGCTATTCATAAGCCCTCGTATCTGCTCCTTCCAATCTAGGTATTTGAGATCACCTTGCCCTGTAAATTTGGGCAGCCAAGGTGCCCCTGGATATACCGGCATCATCATCATTGTTGTTTCTTTACTGCAACCACAGTGCTCTCAATGTATCCTGCTCAGCAACGCCAGATGTGAGAGCCGAGAGGAGCACGTAATTGCAGTAATGAAACTACTGATGCGTTAAAAAATAATAATTTATTTACAAACAAATGTTAAAAATGTCCGATTTAAAAGAAGAGCGGATTAAAATCTGTCCCGACACGTGTTCGCTCCGCCCAGGTCCCTTCAGCGTCTCGGGTCCTGCAGGCACAAAAACACAGCGGCAGCGGAGTGGAGGCCAACAGCAACGCTACACCGACATCTCGTCCACTAAAACACGAGCACCGCTGCTTTCACACACTTACCAGCGAGGCCGAGCTTTTACACTCGGCCGCCGTCTGGATTACGCCTCGCGGTGCTCAACCCGGCACAATGCGTCTCTTGCGATGCCACGGACCCTGGAGGCAGAGCACAACCACACAGAGAACGCCAATACACCCCACAGAATCCCCCCCGCCAAAGGCTACTACATGAACACCACTACTCAATGTGTTGAGGTACTTACACGCGAAGGCAGAGCGTCCTCTGCCTCCTGCGGTAGTTCGGCTTCGTGGTGTTCCCTGGGGACTCGTGAGGCAATGGCGATCACTGTGGTCCGGGTCGTGGTTCCGGTGCTGTGCTGTCCCGTGTCCTGCTCTCCGTATCACTGTTTTCCTCCCTTTCTGCTCCCAGTCCGTCCTTATGTGCCCATGCTCACTCAGTTGCAGGTGCGCTGATTACGCTGTGAGTGCAGGCATTGGCTGGGGCTCAGGTGGCCCGGGCAGCAAGGCACAACGTGGAAGTAAATAACACTCATAAAACCAAATAAAACCATACAATAAAACAGTCCATGCAACAAATAAAACCACACAATAAAAGTCCACACTATAAATATAAAACGTGCCTGCTTACATAAACATATCATAGAATTGTGAAAACATACAACAGCTGGCTCTATTCTGCAGCTCGTTAGGGATGTGTTATTTTAAAGAACTATCTAATTGTGATTTTTAGGTTTGTTTTAGGCTTTGAAATTAGAATTTGGACAATTCAAATATGACCTAAAACCATGCATTTGTTCCATTGCTTTCTTTGACAATGTTTTCACTGTTGAAATTAAATGAAAATCCCTCTCTTGAATTTAAGTTTGATAAGACTGGACTTGGCTTTTCAATTAGCAGATAAAACACTCAGAGTCAAAAGTAGAAGTCTTTTGTGACGGGCGGCACGGTATCTGCTCTCGCTTCTCAGCAAGAAGGTCCTGGGTTTGAATTCCGGTCGGAACAGGGTCTTTCTGTGTGGAGTTTACATGCACTCCTTGTGTCTGTGTAGGTTTCCTCTGGGTGCTCCGGTGAACACTAAAAACATGCACATAGGTAAATGCAGCTCCGCTAGTCCTGACTGCCCTTTTCGGACGGGATGAGTTTTACATGGGGACCCCTGGTAATTTGTGATAATCGCAGAGGATGTCTGAGATTTTAGTCCTGTGCAAATGCGCCATCTCTGTAATTTGTAAAGTAATAATTCCGCCGCAAATTACCTCCTGTATTTGTCTAAAACACAGACGTCCTCTGATAATACTAATCCCATGATATTGCCGCTTTCGCTTTACTTTCTGTGTTTTTGTCATCCAGAAGAGTCGCGCATCGCGGCTGTGAACACCTGCAGAGTTGCGGCTGTCTCTGTGAGGTCTATGGAGAAGTGCAGAGGACAGTGTAATGTGTTCACTGACACTAAATGATCAGACCGATCACATAATGTCAGTGAAAATTATAGACATTGTTTATCCCGTGCGAATGCGCTGTCAGATCTCAGACGTTCTCCGTGATAATCACAAATTACCAAGGGTACCCATGTAAAACTAATTCCGTCCGAATGATCATCACCAACTGGAGATGTTTTTATAGAGAGGAGTGCAAGGACTAGATCAAAGAGACAATTACAATACAGAAACATGCTCTCACACTGTGAAGCGGGACATGGGCCTTCATTCTCTGTCACACCTGTGACACTGAGCCGAGGGCGGTGGACTCTGCAGAGACCCATCTTTCTGCTACAACAGCCTGCATAAGACATGTCGCAGCGGACCAGTCTATCATAAAGCAAATTTGAAAAATGCAATGCAGAGCATGAAAGATCAAGGCTATGCTCACATTGACAGAGCAGCCGTCCTCCTGTGGACTCACCACCTGCAGAGGGTCAGTGAGGGGCTGGTGCTATGAGACTTGGATGGCATCTCTGACTGCCACCCCCCTGACCCAGAAATGGATTAAAACAGGGGTGCTCACACTTTTTCAGCATGCGAGCTACTTATAAAAGGATCAAGTCAAAATGATCTACCTACTACAAAAATGCAAATCATATATTTATTTCAAAAAATATTCTTTATACCTACAATGTATGTTTATGTACATGCAAAACCGCATGAGCCAATATAGCACAACACAACACAATTACCTATGTACATTTTTTGTCATTACCCGAGTTTACTCTGATGACTTGCACTGAATTGAATCGGCCAGGGAGATAATAGTCCGGAAAATTGGTGGTAACTCGCTGACAAGTTTGTCGTGGTTTAGCTTTCCTGCACTGAGCGCGGTTGTTTGCGCATGTGCAGTCACCTAAGTGTCAGTAAAACATTACTGAGTAAAACACAGATGTCATTTGACTGTGGTGCCATGTCCATGTGCCATGCCTGTTTTTTTTAAATCCAAATATTTCCCATCCTCCATCCATCCATCCATCCATCCATTTTCTACCCTTTAATCCATTTCTGGGTCAGGGGGGTGACAGTCAGAGATGCCACCCAAGTCTCATAGCACCAGCCCCTCACTGACCCTCTGCAGGTGGTGAGTCCACAGGAGGACGGCTGCTCTCTGAGTGTGAGCATAGCCTTGATCTTTCAGTGGGGGCTTTGGGCAATGTGGGGTTAAGTGCCTTGCCCAAGGACACAACGACAGCAGTCATCAGTGGGAGTCGGTGGAGAAGGTGCAGAGGTGGGAATTGAACCCACGACCTTCTGGCCTTAAGGCTAATGCTCTACCAACTGAGCTACTGTCGCCCTACTTCTTCTTCTTCTTCGTGTGCGTTTTCGGCAGGCTAGACGCCGCTAGGCGTATTGCTGCCTTCCACAGTCAGTCAGTGGAACTGCATCAAGGGAAAATCTTCACATGAAGATTAGTGGAAGAAATAAACTCCATCACAGCAGCAATGATCTCACGCCGATTTGTTTGTGGATTGAGCAGGGTCTTCAATGACACACTGTCAACCCCCGTTCCCAGCACAACTTTAAACATTTGGCATCGCTCCTGCTTGTAGCATACACACTCCATTAGTACATGACGAACAGTCTCTTCTTTCCCGCCGCACTCACAAAGTCCATTTGGTCTCTTTCCCATAAGAACAAGATCTGGGGCAAACCCACAGTGTCCCAGTCTGAGTCTTGTATATATTACTTGCTCCCTTCTGCTCTTTCCCCAGGTGATGTCTCCCCCCCTGACACTGCTCTGAACCAAATAAAAATGCCTCCCCCTTTCCTCTACATCCCACGCACTCTGCCATCTGCGCCCAATCTCCTGTCCTATCATTACACAGAGCTCGGTGTATCCCAACGTTGTTAAAACAGTAACATTCTCCAAATTCAAGGCTTTCTTCGCAATAGAGTCTGCACTTTCATTTCCAGCAACTCCCACATGAGCCGGCACCCACATGAAGGCTACTGAAATGCCTATCGCCTCAGCTCTATACAGAGCCATAAGAATTTCCGAAATTATGTCCTGTCTTGCGTGGGACACTCCTGCTTGCAGCGCCATCAGAGCAGCTGCAGAGTCTGTACATATTAACGCTTGCTGAGGACAAATCTTACCTACCCACTCCAACGCACCCAGAATCGCTATTGTTTCTGTGGTAAAAACTGACACCCCATCTGGGAGCCGATGTCCCCGACTTACACCAACCTCAGGAATGTGGACAGCAAAAGCTGCCTTCTTGCTGCCAGGGTCAACAGAACCATCTGTGTAAAACTGCATGGACCCACCCCAATTTTCATCAATAGTTTCCGTTACCACCCCGACTGGGTTACTTCTACCCTTCTGCTTGAACTTATCCCTCACAGCCCAATCTATCTCTGGATCTGGAAGCAACCATGGAGGGACACTCGGCCAGACAACCCTGGGAGACATGTCATTGCCCCAATTAGGAAACTCTCTTCTCACTTCTTTTACTAAACTCTCTCTTCTTCTTTTCTGAGCAGGCAGCCAGCTAGCCTCCAGCAACCCCTTCACAGGATTCCCTTGGTCTTGGCTCTGTACCCTCCCAATATACTGAAGGGCTAACTTCACACGTCTCAATTCAAGGGGCATCTCACCACACTCCACTAATAAGGCTGGGATAGATGTGGTCCTAAAAGCCCCACAGCACACCCGCAACGCTTTCGCCTGCACCACATCCAGCCTCGCTAAAATTGTCTTAGCCGCACTCCCATACGCCAAGCACCCATAGTCAATGCTTGATCGCACCATTGCCCTGTAGATCATCAGTTGAGTTCCCTTGTCTGCACCCCAACTACTACCCGCAAGGCACCGCAATATATTAATAATTTTCCCACATTTTGCAACAATCTTATCAACATGGGATCTCCAGGTCAACCTCTCGTCAAAGTGCACACCTAAAAATTTAAACACTTTGACCCTTTCAAGCACTCTGCCATACATACTCAGTCCCAACTGGCCTACTTTACGCTTATTTCCAAATATAACATATTTACTTTTATCTACTGAAATTTTAAAACCCCACTTTCCTGCCCATTCAGTAACCCTATCCAGCGCGACTTGTAACTTCCTCATTATAAAACTAACATATCGCCCTCTTTTCCACATTGCCCCATCATCTGCAAATAGAGATAGACCACACCTATCTCCAACATTAGAAAAAATATCATTGATCATTACATTAAAAAGTACAGGACTTATTACACTGCCTTGTGGCGTACCATTATCAATTCCCACTACCTCTGACAACTCATCTCCAACTCTAACCTGAATTTTGCGGTTATTCAAAAAGGCTTTAATCCAATTCAACATTCTCCCTCGAATCCCTGCATCATACAGTTTAATGATGAGCCCTTCTCTCCACAGCATGTCGTAAGCTTTCTCAATATCTAGAAATACAGCCACAACAGCCTCCTTGTTATCTATTGCTTTCCGAACATCTGACTCTAGCACCAGAACCGAGTCCATTGTGCTTCTTCCCAGCCTAAATCCATTTTGAATGTTTGTAAACCAACCCTCTTTCTCTAATTTATACACTAATCTGTCTGTTACCATTCTTTCCATAATCTTGCACAACACTGCTGTTAATGCAATTGGCCTATATGACCCCGGATTTTTGGCCTCTTTCCCTGGCTTTAGGATTGGTACCACCACAGCCTGTTTCCATGCTGAAGGCAATACCCCCTCTTCCCACACATTATTAATAAGTGCCAACACTTCATGCAATACCAAATCATCAACATGCTTAAAAACTTCGTACATCAGCCCATCCTTACCTGGTGCTGTTTTACCACCTCTACTTATTGCCTTCTGCAATTCATTGAGTGAAAAGTACAAATTACCTGGATCAGAGTTGTCATCGTTAACTTCCAGTTTATACTCTTGACTGTTCAGGGTTCCATTTCTCTCCCTAATCCCCTTCTCTCCTATATTATTGCCACAGTGGACCTCCTGGAACTTCTTTACAAGTAAACTTGCCTTCTGGATGTTGCTTAATGCTTCCACCCCTCCATCTTCAAGAACAGGAATAGCTCTACGCCTGCAGACACCTGCCATACGATGCACCGCTGACCAAACCTCCGCTGCTGATGTCTCCACTCCTAATCCACTACAATACTTCCTCCAACAATCCCTCTTGGCTACCTTTATTGTTCTACGTGCAACAGCCCTCAACTTTTTATATTCTATAGAGTTCTGTTCTGACGGAAACCTCTTAAATTGCTTATACGCCTTCTTCCTTGCCCTAATAGCATATGTACATGCCTTATTCCACCAGGGCACACTTACCCTATTCCTCCCTCCAGCCTTACAGGGTATACACTGACCCATATTATGCGCAATTTCGCTACACAAACTGTCATTCCACTCCTCCAAAGAGTCATCATTTACCTTATCTAAATCCCTATTACACCCCTGAGCAAACTCAGTCCACTTAGCTCGACTAAAATCTAAAGCTTTTGGCCTGACCAACGCATCTGTGACTAAAGACCTACCAAATCTCACTAATATAGGAAAGTGATCACTCCCTAATGAACAACTATCCAGACAGTCCCATTCCCCTAAAACAGCCAACTCACTCGAGGCCAGGGCCACGTCTATACATGAAACCCCTCCCGTTCTCACATCAAACCTTGTGGGCCTGCCATCATTCATACAAATTAGTCCATTCCTATCAATAAAATCCTCAACCTCCTCCCCATTATGGTCACGAGACCAGCTGCCCCACAACGGGTTATGGGCATTAAAATCTCCTACCCACACCAACGGTGTTCCTACCCCCTGAAATACTTCACCTAAAGTGTCAGAATTAAGGTGCAAACATGGATTATAAAAATTTACAACATTAATTTTCCCCTGTGTACCCCAAACCCTCACTGCCATACACTCCAACCGAGTGTTAAGTGATAGTCTCTGATATTGCACATTCTCCCGAATAAAGATTACACACCCCCCTCCAGCTTTATCAGCACGATCAAGCCGCTCACTCACATACCCAAGCACCACAAAATCCAGGCAAGGTTTTAACCATGACTCCTGAATGCAAATTAATTCTGGTTTGTGAATAAAATCTTCTAAGTACCTTTTAAGTTCCTGTCCATTTGCAATGAGGCTTCGCGCATTCCATTGCAATACGTAAAACATTTAACCTACTGAAGAGCTTTCTCCACTCTGACTGGCCCCTCCTCCTTGTGATCCTCTACGTGCGTGCGCAAGATTCAAATGCTCTGGGGACACTTCCGTACCCAAAAACCTACCTGCCTCTTTTGCAATCATTGCCTTTATACCAGATGGCGTGTCCACCTGTCTTGCTGCCCATAAGACTTCCACTAAAAAGGCAAAGAACGCCACCTTACGCACCACAAAACAATCATCCGAGACTTGACCACCTGACTGGTTTAACCTTTCACTTTGAGCCTTCTGCCCCTCCTGGCCTGTCTCTTTGACTCTCCTGACAGCCTCAGCATAGGAGATATTCTCAGTCTTTTTAATTGTCTCCACTTCTTGGGCTTTGACATGTACCCCACATCCCCTGTACGCCGCCACATGGTTGCCCCCACAATTACAGCGCTTCACTTCACTGTTTGTGCACTCTGAATAATCATGACCGCCACCGCACTTTCCACACCTTTTTTCCCCTCTACACACTGCAGCGACATGCCCAAATCTTTTACACAATAAGAACACATTCCCATTAGACAAGATTTTGGCATGCAAGATTTCTCCAATTTTGTCACGAATCTCTGAGGATAGCCTAAGAGGGTTGGGGACTTTTCTCAATTCGTCTTTAAATTTAAGGATTATTTTAAAGCCTTCTTCATCATGCTCAGCCCGCCTCACCATTTTGGCTACTTCTCTCTCACGGCTCCCACTACTACCTGACCTGGTTCGTTTTCCCCCGTCTTTCCCTCCACCCCCCGAACCACCCCCTTTAAGTCTTCCCATGCAGCAGGAGAGACACCACCAAGAAAAGTGCAGTACTTTAAAGTCAATGTGCCACAGGAAAAAAACAAAAGGAGCCAAATTAAAGTTGGCGCCAGTTTAATTTCACCAGCCGGAGACCGTCAACCGCTCAACCCGCCTGTCACTCCGAATCGTGCGACACGCACGTAGCAGCCACTGCACGAGCCAGCCGTCAATTGAGCGACGTCATCTAACGACCTCGTCCTCCTGATCGTCCTCAGAACAGCTACTGTCGCCCTATTTCCCCTCCTCAGTTTATAAAATAATTTGCATCCACACATCTGCGTTATCAATCACATTCGTAACATTCCAAACATGTGCGTCTCTTACGTCCTGTCCTGCGTTGAGGAAAAACACAGAAGTGGGCGGAGCTTTGATGCAGACGCCGGTAACGGCACTTTTACAGTCATAGAAGACACTCAGAGTAAAGACGTATGTTTACAAGCACTGACCCCGTCCTCAGCCCTGGTTTAGCCCTGGTTTAGCCCTGGTTTAGCCCTGGTTTAGTCCTGGTTTAGTCCTGGTTTAGACCTGGTTTGGTTGTTTTCGAGCATGAGTCCCCGCGATCACTTTGCTGCTCTCTGATGTGGAGCGAGGATGTTCGCTGCTGCGAGCATCTCACAGCGAACAGTTTTTAAGGTAGTATGATCCATGCTTCTAACCTTGCCTGCAAGCTGAATTCTCGCGGTATTTGTGAGTTCACAAACACTCGAGAATACATCTTGTACCGCTCCCGCTTACACTTTTCGAGTCGAACCACTGGGTGTGCGAGCCAATCACGCGCCAGTCTGGGGGTTTAGGGCGGGATATCCGGGTTTGACGAAAGCAAGAAGTGCCGGGCCGAAGCAAAACAAACATGGCTACGCAGGAGGACGGACGCGTAGCTGAGGCTATCAAGTCAGTTTTAGCAGAATCTCCAATTTCTTTTTTGAAAGATGAACAGCGAGAGGCGCTTTGTGCATTTCTGGACGGCAAAGATGTTTGTTTTATCTACGGGTTTTGTCAAACCTTGGTAGGCGGGCACACAGCGTCACTTCGCCCAATCAGCTTCAAGTATTCTGCTGCTTATCCCTCCTTTCCCCGAAAGGATTCTCCGGGAGAAATCCCAGATTGATATCGCGGAGAACGCGTTAGAGTTCTACACAATCATCAATCTGGCTCTTGCCAGGTTACCATGCTTCAGTGATCAGAGGAATTTAGGGGGGTACTGTGGCGTGCGAGAACGCAAAACTCCGGTTATCTCTGTCTACACACAAATGCATTAACAGAGTTTTGTATATATTTGTTCAGAATGTGTAATTTTTTATTTATTTAATGCAATCTACCAATACTACCTTTGCGATCGACTGCTAGATCGCGATCGACGTATTGAGCACCCCTGGATTAAAGGGTAGAAAATGGATGGATGGATGGATGGCAATGCAGAGCCGCTTTCTGATTAGGGTTGGGCGAAATGGGCCTCAGCATGTATCACGATTTTTGTTGGTATGTATCACGATATGACGATATGATAATTTGAACAAAGCCTCATATAAAAGCTATAAAAACTTTAAACACACTTGCCTTTACTGATTTATTGGCAGCAAAATGTGTAATACAGCTATTGTATATAAAACGTATTAACAAAACTGAATTGTAGAGAATTCTGTTTTGTACATACTGTAAATTGCAGGCAACATGTAATAAAGGTGAACATTTGTAATTTGTAAAATATATAAAAGTTTGTCCTTTGTAATATAAAAAGTGTAGCATTATCAAATAATTATTTGATCACTTTGGCTTATGTTTCCTAATCCCAATATAGTCAAAATGATCAAATACTGTATATATTTTTTGTATCCTTTTGCGTTTCTATAATTATGTAATTATAAGTTATTTGTAATTATATTGCAATGTAGATAAACACATGCATTGAAGTAAAATGAATGACAGTAAACAGTAAATAAAGCTTACCAATGGCACTATGAGAGCGAGAGAGAGAGAGAGCGAGTGTCCGAAGCAAGCCACTCAAGTCCAGTTGTTTAGGGCAGCTGCTTTCACAACATTAGATCCACTGTCGATAGTTACAATTGCTTCTTTTTATCTAGTTCCCAAACTACTCCCATATGTTTGAGGTAGCTCCGCGTTTTGGCACAATGTCTTCTACAATCTGCATGTCTTCACCATGGTCTTCACCGCCGCACTCAGCCATGTTTGCTCTCTGCTCTGTTGTTGTTGTCCCTGAACGCCGCTCTGCTACACATGCCGCGCAGATGCGTCATCAAAGTGCGCCGCACACAAACGTGTCTTCCGCTCGCTGTTTTCAGTGTTAAATGATCGTTTTCACCGGTATAAGGCATTTTCTTATCATTTAATTTACTTATACCGGTATACCGGTACAAAAAAAATATCGCCCAACCCTATTTCTGATGCAATCCCGTTGCAAGCTTTTCAAGTCACAATGGGAATATGACGACAGAAATAAAATGCAATGCAATAAAAGATTCATTAAAGCTTCAATGTATTTATTTGTTGTATTTTTTCTACACATATAATTACAGTAATCTACATGTAAACTTCAGCACCCAGCTATGCACACAATAATCTCTTAAGGGAGGCTTTCTTGTAAACATTTGGACTCTGAGGATGGACACCGAGGCACTAGTCGGAGTGGGGGCCACACTGCTCTGCTGGGGCCCTCTGGAGAGGCTCTGTGGGGGCCCCAGGCTGCTCCGGGCCTGGGTGCATAAGGGGCACACAGATGTCGTCCATGTTGGGGTAAACAAACACTTTCTGCAAAGCAATAGACACAGGACAACAACAAAAAAATACCAGTGAATACATGCACAGGTTCAGAGATTTTGGTAAAGCTGAGGTACCTAAATTTCAATGCACAAAAAATGGAATGTAATAGAAACTATCTGACTAGTTCCAAGCTCTTGAAATATTTGTTTGTATCAGTTTTCAAATCTAAATGTGTTCTATGAACAACATGCTGTCTGTATCTTATAACAATTTTACTTTTACAAGATTGTTTCTGTTGGGAAACGTTTTATGAAGAACACCAGTTAGGTACTATCATGGTATTTGCCATATGGTACATTTATTGTTCTTTTACCATTCAAAAAAGATACACACAGTTGTACTCATAAATGTTAAATATTTATATGTATAACTTTTATTTGACAAAATGTAGCAGTCACATCTTGAGCTAGTCCTGAGATTTGCAAACATATATATTCATTTGTCCCATTTTTGTCTTTCAGTTTTAGAGCGAAGGTCATCCTTTTCATTATATATATCATGTATTTCCAGTACGTTATCCGTCCACTCAGTCTGGCTGGGTGGACCAGGCTAAAGCCATCTCCTTGTTATGGCACCAAAGTAGCTAAAAGACTAATCCCATATTTAAAGTTGCTTTCCTCCTTTGTTCTGGTGGTGACCTGCTTTTTGGTCCGATACCATCTTCTTGTGATAGATAATAGATATGTTATTGTTTTGCTTGGAAAGTAGTCGCTCCGTTTGGTTTAAAACATGTACATTGCCTGATTATGGATGATTATAGTCTCCACAGATATAACTTGTGATTTGGCCGAGTGAAGTTATACGCTTATTTCTTTTGTGAATGGAAAGTTTAATGAAAAAATTCAAAAGAAAAATTATGTAAAGCACTTTACTCTCTCTGGTCGCCATGGGATTCACCTGAAACTCTTCTTGTAGTTTCTTTTCGATCCACTCTGTCACGTGGCAGAAGGTCACCTCACGCTGCCCCAGTTTGGGACGCACATGGAGGTCCAGCTTGGGCGGTGAGCAGAAGCTGTACCTGCAACACACTCAGGCAGTTAGTCTGTGTAAATCAAACACAAAGTTTATTACATAAGACTTGTCATTTACCATATGCGGTCAGTAGGGGGTGGGGGTACGTTGACCACCAGGGCTCCGGAAAGCTCCTGGACCTCCACGGTGAGCAGCAGAGGCGTTTTGGACATCTCCTCGAACTTCTTCTTAATAAACTCATTTTCCGCCGCCTTCTGGAAATACTTGGATTTGGTGATCTTGTCCACAAATCTCAAAATCTTCCTGCCGGTCTTGCCGCCTCCTGCGCTGTGACAGCAGATTAGAACAGATGAGAGATGGTGCGGCTGACGTTACGGACAGAGTATAAAAAGATGATTAAGTCTGGTGTAAATAAAGCTGGAGCCATCTGGAGAGTGTGGCGACACTCTTTCCCCGCTCTGCTTTGGCAAAGTGACAATCACCGGGCGCCAGCCCCGAGACATCACGTTTCTGTAAAGATATTGAGCCATAGGATGCTTCACTGCACGAAAATAGAAAATGAATAATAATGTTTAATACGGTTTTCTAAGGGTTAAAGTTTTCTGTTGCTCCTTCAATGTTCTTTATTTGGAAAGTGTCTTGCTCAATAACTGTGTGTAAAAGCCATTGTATTAACAAAAAATCATAATGAATATTATTTGCCTCACAGTTCTGCATCTGCATGAGTGTTCCTCACTCTCTGTGAGGAACTCACTCTGAGTGTTCCACGCGGTTTTGTTTTGTTTTCATTAAGTCCCCTATTACACTTCTTGACTTTTCTCATGATTACAGTGCTATTTGCCCTCATACACATGCTCAGAGTGTTTTTTCATTGATTCCCTCAAGCTTTAGTTAGAGAGCAATCTTTCTTTTGCATTCTCGAGAGGCACATGCACCAATCCGTGACGTCAAAAGCCCGCCTCCAAGAGGTGATTGACAGCGGAGAGAAACTGAACCAGCGCCGTCTCTGATCAGCGCATGCAGCTTTTCTCCTGAGATCCACTGTGGATCCACCCGTTCCAATAGAGCTGACATCTCCTCTAATGGCTATAATTAAAAAGTTTTAAGTGTTATACGGTGTATCACCCAAATCACATGTTCTTAAGGAGGACTGGGAACAATTTGTTTTCTTTTTTTCCCCTCTCACATCTTTAGATAAGCATTTTCAAACGTGTTTTCTAGTCAGATGGAGACGGCATAACGTGGTCTGATCTGTTCACATTTTTACAAGACTCTTTCTGTTTGTAAAAAAAAACATAATCATACTCATAGTACATACTGTATACACATGTTGTCCTTACCCTTCTATAGGGGTGGGGGCCCCTCCCTTTCCCCCCACTGGCCCCTGAGGCTCAGACAGAAGAAGCTCTTCCTCATCTGACGAGCCGGCGCTGGACGACTCCTCTTCACTGTCGGCCAACACACTGAGCATCGGCCTGCACCTGCGCCACAGCACAACCACAGTCTCATCATGACACCGGCATGTGCGCAGGTACTTGTGATTTTCTCATTTGGTAAAGTTATAGTGTAACAAAAATCAAGTTGAGGTTTGTGGAGAAAAGGAAACATGATGTGCAGAAGAAATCTAGAACAGAACTAAATCATGGCTGAAAGTTGACATGGAAATGTTTTGTAATAATGGATAAAGAAATGGTTTTGCCTTATGAAGCAACCTCATCAACATGCCAAGGTGGTATTGAAGGCATGCAGTTGTAAAACATAAATCTAATTTGACTGGAAAATTCCCGTAACTCATTTTGAGGCAATACTTTTATTTGAGGATAGCTCAGTTTGTGTCAGAATGTAAAGAGTTTGAGAAAGAAGCATATAAACAGAATGGGGTAGGACATGTGCATGATTTCATACAATAATCTTGTTTTTCCGACATATGAATACTGACCGAGAGGGTTTTATATCCTCTGCCGGTTCTGCTTCTTGACCACCTTCTTTTCCCAGTTTGGACAGGTTAAACTTGGTCTGAAGCGTCATCTGCAGCCCCCCACTGTACGCCAGCTGCACCTCCAGCCACAGACCTGCCAATGAACCACCACATTAGACTAAACACCATTAGAACATTTACACTACAGTGGCTCATGCTTGAACACATTTGACCATGTTTATAACCACAAACGTAAAGATCCTGTTTGTACTTTGCCAAAAGTCACTGCACCTCAATCTGTGTGCCTGCTACAGTGGCTCAGAATACAGCATTGACCTGTGAGCCAGAAGGTTGTGGTTTTCGAGCCAGACCCAGACTTAAATCCAATTGAAAATCTGTTGAACATTGCAGATCACAAATATTCTGCATCAAACCTGACAGAGCTCGAGTTGTTTTGTAAAAAACAAATGGCCAAAGCCTTCTGTCTCTAGATGTGCAAAGCTTGTAGACACGAGTCTTCAAAAGTAATCATGGCAAAGAGTGCAGAAGTTCAAATAGAAAGTCACTGCATACAGAAAGTGATGTGTGTTGAAATAATGCATGTGTGTATGTTGTAACATAGAGGAGGATAATAATGATGGAGAGTTGTGTCACCGTAAACGAGACACACACACGACACACAACGAGATCTACTAAAACAACTGCACAGCCATGAGGTCAGCCACACTCTAATACGTTAAATCCCCTGGTCATTTGAAGCCAGTGGCTGCTCTACGGCACGCACACACTCGGCCAATATGCTGTGGATTTCAGAGACGGAGGTTAAATAACTCTGTGAGAAAGATTAAAGCTCTTCTCTGGAGTCAGTCCAGGCTTTACTGTTTGTTCCTCTGATCATCACTGCAGCCACAGCTCAGCGTCTATAACAGTCTGTAAATGTGAAAGGGATTTTAGATGCTTTACACAAGCTATTTTTAAACATTATATTATGGTTTATTGTCTATTGTAGTTTAGCACATGACACTAGCGCATCATCAAAAGGGTTTCAATAACATGTCGGCTCTGCACCATTTAACTTCTGAATAGGCCACTGCACATCTCTGTCAACATGGTGCTCCTTTTAGAGGAATGTTCCAAAGTATGGTAATGGATGGTAGTATTACTATTACACCAAAATATAAGTATTGTGCCGCAGCGTTGAATCCCACCTCGAGCGTTGATCACTGGTTTGGATGTTGAGGTGATGAGAGGCATCGCCAAGCCCAGGTCCATCTCCGTCACCGTCAGTTCATTCACAAAGTAAGGCAACTGCGAAAGACATTATACTACATTCAGCTTTGTTTATCTCCCTTGCATTCTACATTTAACCAAGTACTGGTTATATCACAGTGATAACCAGAAGAGAGAGAGAGAGAGACAGACAGCAAGAGAGAGAGAGAGAGAGCAAGAGAGAGAGAGAGAGACAGACAGCAAGAGAGAGAGAGCGACAGCAAAAGAGAGAGACAGCAAGAGAGAGAGAGAGAGAGACAGCAAGAGAGCGAGAGAGAGAGACAGCGAGAGAGAGAGAGCAAAAGAGAGAGAGAGACAGACACAGAGAAAGAGAGAGAGGTTTTGAAAGATGAGCGCCTTCCTTCTACACTGTAACATGTCATAGAAGTCAGCTGAAAATATGGTTTGATCCCAACAAAAGGTTTCTCAGTGGTTTACAGTAGAATCAGATGTACTTAAAAACATATTAAAAGTTTACCAAAGTTTGACTCCAAAAAAGGCCTCATTTTCAAAATGGCGGAGATCAGGTCCTTAAAATGACCATTACTCCTTTTTATTTCTCCTAGACCAGGAATACTGGTGTCTGATATCTGTTTTGGTCATATACTATTCTAATTAGTATATTTGCATGAACAATAAGTGATTACAAGTACAATTATATATTTAAGTAATTGGTTATAAGCATATGTATGCAAAAAACAAGTACAATTTCCCTTAAGTAATTCCATATTTCTCTTTTATCATATCGTTTTTCCAGTGTTGTTGGTGTCTGTGGTTCATAACCATTACTTTGATTCTAATAAAGAATGCATTTGTTATAATGGTGTGGTACTGTAAAATTAGTCAAAACAGGGCGTGAAGGCTCAGTACCGCTAACCCCTTGTGTTTTTTGTATATGAATATTTTATACATATCTTTTTCTATTTTCTTCTGTTGTTTCCTCTTATTCAAAGAGCATGTGGGCAGATTTGTTCATGTTTAGTTTTAGCATATTTGTTGAGCCACTTTTGAATTGAATAAAAGTCCTTTTGTAGATACATTTGCAGTTGTGGTAAGTTTGCACCTGACAGACGACATCAGCATATAGATGAGTCTGGGCAATGACTGCACACTTGGGGTAGGTCATTGATGAAGATAGAAAATAAAAGAGGTCCAAGGGTTGAGCCTTGTGGTACCCCTTTTTCCATGATAGAGAGACCAGTTTGAGAACCATTAAAAACTACAAACTGTCGACTATTGTGAAGATAAGCATTGAACCATAAAAGAGCATTTCTACTGAGACTTATTGAGTAGATAAGTGAATAGTGGTCTTCTTGATCAAATAATGAACGAGTTAGGATATGTTAAGGGATTCCATCCTTGGACGCCATCTTGAAAATTTTTTTTTTTTTAGTTTTTTTTTCATATATGCAGCCGCCTAATAGTAGATCACACAACATCAGAAATGCACTGATGTATTTTGTGTACACACTCTGATTGTGCTGAGCTTCTTCTGGATCTTGTCAGACACTATGTCGGCGTAGTACTTCTCTCGGAGGAAGTCCCAGAAGATTCGACCAATGAGAGCGTTTACCCAGGCTGTTTGGCTTTTCCCAGGATGCTCTGCTGCATCACAGGTGCACTGCACAAACAGGACGGTGACATAAGAGTCATGGCTCCAAATAACAATGACACAAAAGAGATGCACCACAAATGATCTGTTTTACACTGATAATCACTTCTTTTGTCTGTAATGCACATTTAGAAATGTATTTAAAATATATTATACATTATTATTTAGAGGTTTTAAAAAATATATATAATTGTTTTGTGTTTTGAAATAAAATGGGTACTTTTGCACGTTTTGTTCTAAACTGCAAATGGAAAATAAACTGAATCTGAACACCAAGTATCAACACAGTATCTGACACACAGTGCCGATATTCCTGTACAAATTCAAGTAAACCTGTACTTGTACTTGTTCTGGTCTTCATGTCCCTAAAACCAGGCGTGGATACTTACTGAGAAAAGAGCAGATGAATGGATCATTCAGTGAACAAAAGTTACCAATGGCTGTAAAATCCATTACTGCAGCTTCAAGCCACAGAAAATATCAGCTCAGAACCTCAGATCATGTGTTTGCAATATTATCATGGTAATATTTGGTTCTGAAAACATGTTGCTTGAGCACATATTTTAAAACATTTAAATAAAGTTAGAAATATCTTCAAACTTGTGAAACATTCTGTGTTTGCGGTTGACAGAACTCACATGTGCCCTGAGGCCGGTGGGGCTGGTTCCAGGGCTGCAGAGCGGGCTGAGCTCGGCTGTGGACAGGAGCCGGCTCATGTAGCTGTGGTAGTCCAGCACTGGGGACGTCCTGCTGCTGTGAGGGTTCGGGGCCGGGGCCGGGGCTGGGGGGTTGCAGGGGTCCTCCTCACTGCCTCCTCTGCTGGAGCACAGACTGCCTGTCAGCTCTGTGTGAAGAGGGACATCGCCTTATGAGAGAAATTCAATGTAATAAGGAAAATCAGAAAAAGAGACTTAATTCTGAATACTTAAAGGACACGTTCATAATTGTTGGTCTGGTTCACTTGGGGCAAAAACTGCTTTATTTGTGGACGTAAAACAATCAAACATGTGTTGAATAGTCTCTTAAATCAGTATTTGTCTTTTAAAACATATCTTAGTTATGGTAAAGTGAGCCTGACCTGGTCCAGTCAAATGGAACCAGACCAACAAGCCAAACCTCAGTAATCTAAGGTCTCCAAACTAAGATACTGTACATATTGTAATGCTCAAATGTTAAAAATTATTTATTTAAGGTGTGTTAAAAAAGTGTAGTAATAGTATTGTGTGAAATTACACAAATAAGTAACAGTTTATGAAAATGTTATCCAAATACTGTAAATGTATTTTTGAAAGATGCGAGTGGTTGATTTATGATGCAAATAACAAGAACTGGAATTCTAGTGTAAAAAAATGTTGACTGCATTCTTCATTGCAAGCTTTGACACTTGTGGATCAAATTATGGACATATTTTCTTTTGTTGGTGAATATTATTTCGACTTCCTCAGACCACAACAAAGTATTACAACAAATATATAGTATGATACTTTTTTTGAGAACCAAGCAAATATAAGTGACATTTTTCTTACAATCGGCCCACTACTGTCAGAACAATGTTTCCACTCAAAAGAGATTGAAATGCAAAGAATTGGAGCATGTAATCCATAATCCACATATAAGTATCATGTGTAGGCCGCCTCGTCTAGTAGCCTTCTCTTGACAAATGCATTAAATCGCACATACCAGATTTGCCCACGCATCTGTCGGCTCTCCCCTCCCCAGGAGCTTCCTCAGACGCCAGGAGGAAGTGCCGGTACCACTCCTCTTTCTCTCGGCCCGTGCGTCCGAACAGGTAGAGGGTGCCCTGGTCTGGCTGCGCCTCCGTCTCTGTGGGACTCTGTGGGGGGCACAGCTGCAGACACATGGGGTACTTCGGGTTCCACTGTCTCTTCTGAGCCAGCACAGGGGGCAGCAGGGAAACCTTTGGAGAATAATGTTTGTTAGTGTTGAGCTGACAGATGGTGTGTCATCAAAACAATGTGAAAGTTATGACAAAACATGGTGCGAATATAACAAGCAGTGCATGATAACAATAGAACAGCATATGCAGCTTCTGAAATGTGTTACATACTGGCATTCATTTTGATTAAAGGAGGACTCAATGTCATCCTTCTTGCCTTCAACCCTCTGAATCCTATTGACAGCACTGGCAGCAGTTACAAACAAATTGTCAGATGCTGAAAGTGTGCTTGTTCTTTGTGCAACACAACACAGGAGGCTGTGTTTGAGTACAATTCATCTTAAATGAAAATATACAATAGATCTAATGAATAAGACTGTTGCCTGTTTACAGAATTACACAAATGTCTGGAATGAGCTTTGTTCTCTGCATTTTCTTAATTTCCATGTAGCTTTGCCTGATAGGTTTTACTATACAGTAGTTCACACATCTCGGTGAAGACGAGAGCACAAATGAAGCTGAAGGCGCAGATTCAGACTGAAAGACAGAGTGCAAATTCCCCCTTCCAAGCCAACCAATCACACAGCTCTGCCAGCCTCGAGTCTCTCCCAGCCTCGAGCCTCTACCAATCACACAGCTCTGCCAGCCTCAAGCCTCAGCCAATCACACAGCCCGGCCAGCCTCCTGCCAACCCTCTCACAGGCAAGCGGGCAGTTTAAAAGGCAGCCACTTCCTGACAAGCAGCGCTCCTGAAGCTCCTAACACCCACCACCTCCCCAGCACCTCCTCCGGCTCCCGCTCTAGGCTCCCGCTCTAGGCTCCCGCTCTGGCTCCTGCTCTGGCTCCTGCTCTAGGCTCCTGCTCTGACTCCTGCTCCGCTACGCCCCATTCACACCATACTCTAGCCACCACCAGTGCTTGACCCCGGGGGATCTGAGATCATCTTCAGCTGCAATTGAACTCCTCGCTGCAAGTGTCACAGCCGGGGTCAATGCGCCAAATAAATAAATCATTTGAATGTATTAATTGTGTCTTTGGTCTCTTCAGATTGAATGAAGCTGACGCATAAGTTCAGCCTGAAAAAGCTGGCAGAGGATACTGTGGCAAAAAACATTTACATACAGTTACATTGTGCACTTTTAAGATATAAATAAACTCCTGTATGCAGGATTTTTGTGCTTACTCCTGCTCATCTTGCTCAGCTGTGAGTCCGGCCTTTGGTGGGCTGTTTGTTCTTACCTTGGCGTTTGTGAGCTCAAAGCAGCGTGTCTTCACGAAGGCCGTGTCAGGCAGCCTCTCTCCGTACGTGGCCCTGCGGCTGATGTTGTTCCGTGGGGAGTCAAGGCGCAGACACGAGCCCTCCAGAGTGGCAAACACCGAGTGAGACTGAGAGGCACGGTGGGTCTCCGGGTCATAATCATACACCTCATTCATCCAGCCCTGCAGGGAAACACAAGAACACCAACTTCACGTACCAAGACACACAATCTCCACAGAGCTGAAAAGGAGGCACGGCACAATCTACAATCAAAAGAAAAAAATAGAACTGGTTGAGTAATCAAACAACAGAAAGCAAATCTTACGGAAAAAATTGAATGTTATTGTAATAAATCTCTTTTACTATGCATTCGAAATATATCTAGATTTGTCCTGTATTCCACAGCCCTTGAATGTGTAATGCAAATACACTGGTGGGGGATCATGTCTGCTCCTGGTTTGAAGTACAAAAATAACCATCAAAAACAAGCCTAATGAGCAATCTCAAAGACCTGCTAGTTAAAAAGTTCACCGACTAAACAATCAGTGAGCTTTCTTTCTCTAAAACTGTGATCCAACCATCGACCTGCCGCATCATGGAAATGACCTCTCCAGCTTCTCCTGCTCTAATTGCCCACGGAGCTGACAGTGCGCCTGCAGCAGCGCTCTCAGTGTCCCGTGTCATCCAGGAGGCTGTAATTACTGCTGCTCCAATAGCTTTAATATGAAACGTTTGAACTGCACTGTGGACACGCTTCGCAGTCACTCCAAGAGGCTTTCAGGAGATTTACTCGAGTATAATATATTTTCACATTTGTGTTTGCATTTTCAGATACCTACTTCAGAAAAAAAAGTGTTTTGTTATTAAAACAATGTTCTTAAAAAGTATCAATACATTAATAATAATTCATGAAAAAGCCTTATTCATTACATTTGTGAAATGTTGAACTCTTTTTTGGCCACGCCCTCTTCACGATGCAGACTTGGGAAATAGTTTAGTGTATGTGCAAAAGGTCTGACTGAGTGAGTGAATGGATGGTGTTGATTGGAGGCTTTGTTGCTCCAGTGTGTTCGGCGTCTCGCTTCCATCATCACCGTGTGGAGAGAATGAAACAACTGTAAAAATGCTCTATATAAATATACATTTGTTACTTACTTACTATATCAATGATACTTTATCTCTGACTCGTAAGTCCAAGTCTCTTGTGCAGGAGTCCAAGTCAAGTCCAAGTCAAGTCCAAGTCTCATGGTTTTGCACAGATCAAAATTATGGCGCAATACATTTTTAAAATCCATATAAAAACATCAAAGGAATTCAGAGAAATACCATGCTGTATGTCTACCTCCGAATACACTGTTTAGACAAATAACATGTACTCTGTATGAAAATAATAATGATAGGTACCTCAGCTTTAATTTTGTGAGTTTTAGATGAGGGCGAGCGATGAAACGACTTAGTCGGTCCTCACCTCTGATGCATATATTACATATGTCAGGTTGATAGCTATGCACACACAGGTGTACGTGGTGGCTCTTGATCATGGGTGGGCAGGATTATTAGGCTTTGTGGATAAATACAGTCAGTATAAAAACAACACATAGACAGCTGCTTGTTAAACACATGTATTGGATCTGAGCCTTCCCTGTACTGTAAATACGCTTCAGCCTCTTTTGTGTTTTGTGTAATACTTTGTAATTCCAGTTTACTTATTGTACATACCTATGAACAATATTTACAATGTCAGAATATTTGATTTACTTCTTGTATGACCAGGGTAGTCCAACTAAGGTCCCCAGTTAGTATCCCCCGCATTCCCACACATTCTAAAGGATATGATAAATTCCTGTTAAAATACTGTATTTTTACCTTTAGAACGTCAGACTCAAATCTTACAGCGGCACCTGTGAGGACAGCCTCTCCGGCCAAAGTTTGTGGTTTTCGGCATTTGAGACCTGTCTGATCAGAGTTTACAGTGCTCAGTCTAATAAGCAGGAGTCCCATCAAGAAGCCCAGAGCAACGCCTAAGGCTATGCCAGAGAAGTATGGCCCTAAAGGCAAGATAAAGTATCCATACGAAAGAATGCCAATGCAAAACAAACTCATGTGTGGGAGTTGATCGCTCATATTTCGAGTGTCTTCTTGGAAAAAGGGCGGAGGTGAGGTAATTTCCTTTTCTCTGACTGATATTTGGACCACATCTCCGTCAGTAAAGACCTCCAGCTCCTCATCCCTTTGCTGTTGCCGATTGTTGTGAATTGGGCAAGTCCTGCGATGATGCTTATAAGGAGGCCATTCAAAAACCTGCGTAATCTCCTCCGATCTTTTCTTTGCTGGTGACTCTACCAAACTGGAGTCCGTGCTCCCGTCCTGGGCCATACCCCTAGAGAGCATGGCCTGCTTTTTCCGACTGTGCTTAGGGCTACCTCCAATCTTTTGGAGCATGCTACTGAAGGAGTGTTCCTGGACTGCCTCGGATAGCTTCCTTTTTGTGTCTTCCAGCTCCATTTTGAAGAAGTTGCCTTTCCCGCTGTCGCCACTGGGGGACAGCATGCTTGGCGATGGCGGCGCAGTTCTTGAGTCACCATTGTTGAGTTTTTTTGTCTGAGTAAGTTTCTTCCAGGGGTGTAGGGCGAGCCTTGAGTCGGATCTCGAATGCGATATTTCGGGTTCAGATCTGGAAAGTTCAGTCGAGATGGATTTCACTAGACTGAGCAAAGGTTTCGGTCGAAGCGAGGCACCTTCCTTGAGTTCAAGTTCAGAGGAAAGAGACTTGACCAGGTTGGTAAACGGATGATGTGTTGGTGAAGAAGGGGAAAGAAAGCTAGTTCCAGTGCAGTTTGCGAGGGAGTTTGGGGTCGAAGAAGATTGTGGGACATGGCAAGAGGATGCGTTCAGCAGGAGGTCATCATTGACAGAAAGTTGGCGTTCTCTGGTGAGACTGATGGTTGGGTAATCCTCGTCCAGGGAAAAGATTAGCTCGCTGTCATCCAAGCTGTCCCACTCCCCCTCGGTCCTCGTCAGCTGGATGACAACACCTCGTGGGCCATGTCTCTTGGTCCTGTTGGAACATTTGGGAGAGAGGCTGGATGGCGTAGCACTAGATCCCAGGACTTCCCTTTCCCCTGTTCCACTTGTTCCACTTTCTGCCATTCTGGCTGGAAGATGCACGCTCAAGCCATTGAAGAGTTACTGAAAGGACAAACAAATAATTGGACAGATCAAATGGTGAGTTTACAGACTGTGAATGTGTACGAACAATAATTTTAAAAAGTGGGTGAAACAAGTTCATAGGAGAATAATAAATCATTCAAGCACATAAAAGATGAGCTGCATACATTTACATGAAATCCTGTTGATCTGAGCCTTCCACCTCTCCCACAGCTGCCGTTCCACATATAGTGAACCCCTTTAGAAGAATGTATAAATAGAAAAGCCATGTTCCCCCCATATGTGGCGCAAAGTAGGCTGGTTGTGTTTCAGAATAGACATGCATGAAGGAACATGTGGTAAAGTACACAGCAATGTTTAATCAATGTGCAAACAAAGCTTCACAAAGTGGTTCCATAGTGAGGCCATTAGTAGCACTAACAAGATGTTATAATTAAAACATAGAGAAGGAGGCACTCTGAAAACTATGCTTTTTAATATAAAGTTGAGCCGATGCGTTTCAACATAACATAACATAAGTCGCCAAAAAAACAACACTCATGAACTGGAAATCCAAAACTAACATTCACATCTCCACATGGAATAACTTAATTTCAGACTATATTTAAATTCAAGACATACACCCCAGCCATACCTCACACAATACACCTCGCATATCCCGGAACCCACTCATAAACTAATCTTATATACTTTACATTACCCAAAAACAAACATCCTCCCCCCCATACCAGATATGTCTGAGTTTTTAATGCACTACACAAACAGGCACGGACATTACAACAAATTCTGCTTTGTTTATTTTGGAAGTTTACCCTACAACCATAGGTGCTTCTTACAAGCAAAAAATTAATTCATTGGGATGAAAAAGTGAAATAGATGGAAAGAGATGAAAGATACAGGAAAGGAAAGTTGGAAATATTGGAGCGTGTTTGTGGGGTCCTTTTTCACTTTTGTGTTGTGTGCGAGTCGCCGAACACACTGGCGCAAAGCCCCCAATCAACACTATCCATTCACTCACTCATTTACATTCGTAAATGAAAACGGAGCACCCAGAGGAAACCTACACAGACACGGGGAGAACAAGCAAACTCCACTCAGAAAGGCCCTGTTCCGACCGGGATTTAAAACCACCTTCTGAGAAGCGAGAGTGTTATCCACTCAGGTGGGCACTCAGATGGTTGATTAATGTTTAAAGTTAATGTTTAAAGTTGACTTGTTTTTGTTGGGGTGACAGTGGCTCAGTTGGTAGAGCATTGGTCTCTGAACCTAATGCTCGTGGGTTCAATCCCCCCACCCATGAAGTCTGCTGTCGTTGTGTCCCTGAGCAAGACACTTAACCCCACATGGCCCGAAGCCCCCACTGAAACACCATGGCCGTATCGTCAAAGCAGCAGCCATCTCCCCATGGACCCCCCACCTGTAGGAGGATCAGCGAGGGGCTGGTGCTATGTTATTTGGGTGGCAGCTCTGATTGCCACCCCCCCAACCCACAAATGGAATATTAAAGGGGATGACAACTGAAATAAATAATTATAAAAAATAAATATATTGTTATGATGATTTAATCATATTTAATGGAGAATTAAACAGTGAGGACGTAATATGACAGTGTAAATAAGCAAAGCTCTTTTAATGCTAATACCGACTGAAAATACTGCTCGAACTCACCAGCTTGCAAAAGCTCATGTCTGAAAAGAGCATTATTGCACTGCACTTGAAAAGGCCGGAGCACACGAGGCACAGGGTCTCTCTGGGTCAAGTGCCCAGCTCCTATCACAACCCAAAGCCCACCTCACACTGCATTTACGTAACTGTATTATGCAGTGTCGTGTGGCACTATTTCAACCAATTCCACAGCAGCTGGTGGATTCTGACTAATCTGCTCTTGCCCAAAATGGTGGGGAGATAATACGCAGCAAACACACAAACCTAGTGATATTAGAGTTCATGAAGCGCTTTGCGCAGAAAGAGGAGCCAGGAGAGCTGAGGTGCCAAAACACAGATTAATAAAGGTATAACAAAACGCCAGGGAGGTCATGGGAGATATTGTGAAGGACTTTTGTTGTTCATGTGGCACGTTGCTGTCTCCATGGTATGTTTGCTCTCACTGCAAAGGTCTCTTTTGGCATCTATTATGTCTTACAATTATTACATTGTTTATTAGCTCTTATATTATAGTATATTTTCTAAATGTTATTTTCTAATGTTGACCTTGAAAAAAAACATGCTTTTGAGTAAGGACACTATTCCACAAATTCTGTGTTTGTTGAAACATTCAGGCAGTTAGAACATTGCTACAAACAAGAGGTGGAGCTTTGATTAGGAAAGTTGTGAATCAAAGATATTAAAGATAATTGAGGGAATATATTGTACAATGATTCTTTTATGCTGCAAAGCCTGCAATATACAGTTCATCGGTTACACTCTGATGGGTTCAAAGCAAATTCCACATGTATCCACAAACTAGGTGAATGACAATAAACAGATACAAATTATGTAAACAAAAAACTTAACCATTGAAATTCATGAGACTCGGGTTGGTTTAACAATTAATTCCCAAATATATAGGTTTTTAGTGACTTGAGGTTTTTGCATTCATGTAAATAACCATGGTTCAATCTTTTTCAGAAAATATACAAATGTTACATATATTGCTTTTATTACTAGAGCAGTAAATTAGGAATGTCTTAGCTTCTTCTCAGCAGAAGTGTTTTCCTAATTAGGTGAAGTGCTTTTAGGGCGCTTCACTGACTCTGCAGAGTTTAAGCGTTGTTTCATCAGCTTTGACAATCCCAGACGCCCAAGGAAAACAGGGAAATCTTGATGAAATGATGACAGAGGAGGAGAAATACATGGAAGTAAGTCCGAATGAGAGCTGTAGAGCTTCTGAATGTGAACATGCAGAGCTGGTCTGAAAGTGCGAAGTGTGACGCTGGCTCACATCTGCTCCGTGAGCCTCTGCCAAGCTCTCAAACCATCAGCACCTCATTCTCCGTCTGTTTCTGTAGGACCGCTTCAGATGGCTCGTGTTTCAAACTTCCTGATCAAAAACTGACACTAACAATCTCAGATTAACATTAATGCATGCCTTAACTGCCAAATCTGAAAAATCACTCCGAGCCAGATTAGAGACTAAAGCAACGTTTGCAGTGTGTGGGTTCAGCTGATCTGAAAGTATTGTTCGGCCGCACAGGGAATCCAAGTAAATATTCAGTTCAAAATCAAATGATTTTTTTCCCATTTTGTTTTTAAAGAGGGTAAATCCGCTGCTTTCATTTGTAAAGCAATCCTTCTGAACTAAGATTGAACTCAGATTATTGTCTAGACTAGACAGAGCAGATGTTTTTCAAAGACATTAAAAAAGTAGATGTTTATTTTAACCTAATTAAACTCATATAATCTCATATCAAAATAACTTTAGGCTTATTTTACAATGAGATCACAGAAATTGATTCTACTATGGATCACAGATGATGGCTTTTGTTGTCATGTCAATAAAGGAAGATATGAGGTAGAAACCATGCATTATATGTCGCCAAAGATGATTTTAAATGTCATGCTAAGTATTTCCAGATAAATAGTGCTAGAAAATACACCAGCTCTGTCAAAAGAACAAGTGTTAATTTTGGATTTGTACTATGTAGTATGTTTTAGTAATAATATAAAACACTACATAGTTATCAATCGTACCATGGGAGAGGTGGTGCTGTGATGTTGTGAAGTCTGAATGCACATGCTCGCAGCAGCGTGCTTATGCCAGAGCTTTGACAGAGCTGTGGTCGCTCGCTTCTTTGAGAGCACTCTGCTGTGAATAACACACACACATTCACAAAGAGTAAACCAAACAAAAGTGACTTACCAGTACGAGCGAGGTGGGAGAGTGTGAGCTGCTCCGGAGCTGTCTGAAGTGCATCTCCATTAGTGATGAAGCCCCCAGCAGCTGGCTCCTCCTCATCCTCCTCCTCCTCCTCCTCCTCCTCCTCCTCCCTCTTTCTCGCTGCTCTCCGCACAGGACAGGACTCCACTCTGTCCAGTGCCCATGTCCAGATGTGTCATGTGCTGTTGAGAATCACAGCTCTCGGTGATTATAAAAACTGGGGACGTGCTGTGTGCTAATCCAGATTACAACTCCTGCAGCCCCAACACTTACACACATACCCACCCCCAGACACCCACACCCACACACAGACACACACACCCACACACACCCACACACACACACACACACATGCCCAGTTAATGGCAGTTCTGTGAGAATCGTCCTGTTCCTGTTGACGTCTCAATCTCGCTTTATTGCAGATTACAGGGGATTGCACATTGTCCTATTCATCAGCAGAAAAGCCCATATGCTAGCTATAGATTCAAGACAGCAAGAGCACAGCAGAAAACCAATCAACTGTTTAGAAATGATTGAAGTCAGTACAAAGGTTGTTGGAATTTATGTACCAATCAAATTTCAGGGAACGCGGTCCAAGAGAAGTCGTAATCTGTGGTGGGGCTTCACTGGGTCAACAAATATGAAAACATTCAAAATAGCCAAGTTCTCTAGAAGGATGTGAGGCATAATTCTGATCAAACAAAATAATTGTCTCAAATGTGAAGAAGAGGCAACAATCTCTTTACATTCTCCTATGTGAAGGCATGTTTTTGGTTTCCTCCGAAATTGTTTTGACTCAACCATCTGACGACAATGAAGCTGAAGCGCAGATTCAGACTGAAAGACCGGCCACGGCTCTCACCCGTCCAGGGCCCGCCAATCACACAGCTCTGCCAGCCCCTTGACGACCCACTGACAGCAAAGCAGGTAGTTAAAAGCAGCCACTCCCCGATAAACGGCGCTTCCTGGAGCTCTTAACACCCACCACCTCCCCAGCGCCTCCTCGGCTCCTGGTTCCTACTCGGGTTTCCGCTCTGGCTCCTGCCCTGGTTCCTGCTTTGGCTCCAGCTTTGGCTCCTGCTCTGGCTCCTGCTCTGCCTACACCCCATTCACACCATGCTTCTAGCCACCACCAGTGTCACTGCCGGGGTCAATGTGCCAATCAAATAAAATAAATATTTTTCATGGATTAATGTTTCTGTCTTGATCTTTTCAAATTGAATTGTGTGTAGATGATATATTCATTTCCACCAGTGAAAATGAGTGAAAAACATGTTGTTCACCAAGGAATAAAATAGATGTCTTTCCTTCCAACTGCAACATATGGTGTGGACAGTGGGAACTTCACACATAATTGAATATACATAATTGGAGGTGAAACATTCTTTTATTTTTAGACTATGACGAAGAGTGGGAAGTGGTATTTCCCCCATGCTGCATTTCACAGGCCTCAGTGCCTTTAAATGAGCCGGTGTATGCAGCATGAAATACATTTGTGTGAATCCAAAGAAAGAGAGTAGCTCCACGTTGGCCCACAAAACACGCACTGAAGCCCTGGAAATGACAACATGAGGAAGAGGGCTCCGCAGCTGCATGAGCCACGAGACAAATAAACACCATCCATCACTGACTGAAGCAGCTCTCTGATCCCCTTATCTTTGACCTAAAGACTAGACAAGGATATTCAGGGCATCGAGCCATTTACCATCTGTACGCTAAGTTGAATAAGTGTGTTAGAAATTGGATTATGTAATGTCTAGTAATGTTGTTCAATCTGAGAAATTCCTTAGGCTTGGTGTCCATTACTGTGGGAAGTAACTGTGTTGCTCCATTGATTTAAAAAAATCTTGTATTAATGAACTAATAGATAAAGGAAACTGATTTACGCTAATAGGACGTGCTATCCAATTATTATTTTTCCGATTTTACTTGCCTTAGTTATGGTTTCTAATTACAAACAGGTCCACGGACTCCTGTTCAAAATGATGCTCTTACTGTTAATATCATTAAGACTTACACCTAAATGCCGAACTGCAGTTTGTTTTTTGGTGCTTTTTAAATTCTTATTTGTATAACTTTACATTATAGTACAGGGCCAGGGGGCAAATATTTATTTTAACCCTTTAAGGCCACCCATTGAACAAGATAAATTCTGTTTTTTTAAGATGAATAGAAACAATACATATGCTAACGTCCATAATAAAAACAACAAAAAAAGAAAATTAAACAGATTTCTCACTCTATAAATCCCTGTGTGGTGTTTGGGTCTGTGGGAGCTGTTTTCATTTTTTATAAAAAAAAATGAAAACATACATTTTTCAAACTGAGACTCACTGCCTCATTTTCTGTGAAGAACATATATCAGAATATATTTTTAATGACCACACACATTTCTATTACATAGAAGATGTTCGGGTCACTGGACCCGGGCCAAATAGAAGTGTGGAAATTGACCTTGCTCCACCCACCGACCCACCAACCCACACACACACGCACACACACACACACACACACACACACACACACCCACACACACACACACCAGGCCTAGACAGGAGGAGGACACAGTGTAGGTACACAGAACATCAGAGGATCAAATGCGAAAACCGCAGGTGCAGAAACACAAAATAAGCAGTTCCCACACAAGTTTGCGACATTGTTTGTCAACACTGTGTGCATGCTCTCATTTTCTTGCACATTTGACCCTCTGTCTTGTGGGAATCTTTATTTTCTCTACAAAGCGGCCAAAGCTGCCCCGGGTCAGAACGCTGCGGCCACAGAGCATGGGGAATCCCGTTTGAGTACATACAGTAAACAACAAACAACTGGTATCCTATGTGCCAAAGAAAGGCAAGAATGTGGTACTCATGAGTAACTGCACAGGGATGGAAGAATGTGTGACCAGGAACATCACAAACCAGAGATCATCTGTGCCACAAAAGGAGGGGTAGACAACATGGACAAGTATTAACCATATATATTTTTATACTGCTTGTAATTGGGATAAGGTAAACATCTTGAAGAGGATGACATAGTCTGGGATCGCGTCTTTCATTCAGACAGAAGACATGTTTTATTGTCAATGGTAGAGACAGCACGAACAAAGCACACGATCACAGATACAAGAGAATGCAAGTGTATTATACAGAGCGGAGGCATGGAGACCTCCAATCAGCAGCTTCCACGGTGTGCTTGTAGCTTGGCCTTCAGATAGACACAACAAGGGAAAAGTACTGGCTTCTGCACATTGATAGAATGATGAGTTTAACTTTAACAAAAGTTGCTTCAAAGTGTTATGAAATCTCATATTCCCCCCTCTGGTCATACATTCACGTGTGACCATCAGGATCGATAAACAGCAACATAACATCATAACTCAATACTTCAAAAACTCATAAACTCGGTACTTCAAAAAACTCAGAACTCGGAATACTTCAAAAACTCAGAAAACTCATAAAACATGTTCAGATCTTTCATAAAACTTGTCAACAATCTTCAGTAAAATACCAAACTTCATCAGTCGATGGTGGTTCCAGATATTGCTTTGAAAACAGTCTCTCCCACTTCTCTGTTGATTCTTCAGGCTGCATTTGTGTCGAGCCATGAATTCTTCTGTGACGTGTCTTTCAATCACACGTTTCAGCTTTAGTGTCCAGATTCAGCAATCCAATTGTTCCAAATTATGTCCAAATTCAGAAATCCAATTGTTCCAAATGCAAAAGAGGACGCTGGTGTTGTCCTAGTCTCAGCAGCTCACAGCCTGAGTGGAGTCAGGGGCTGTGCAGATAGTCCAAGTGTGCTGGTCCAGATGCATTCTCTTGAGGTTTTTCAGTTTTGGCTTGAAAAAAAAACACTTTTTGTGTAAAAAAAAAAGTCTTCTGTTCTCTAGATGTTACAGACAAGGCCCGCATCCTTCCACCACCTGAAGAAGATGACATAGTCTGGGATCGCGTCTTTCATTCAGACAGAAGACATGTTTTATTGTCAATGGTAGAGACAGCACGAACAAAGCACACGATCACAGATACAAGAGAATGCAAGTGTATTATACAGAGCGGAGGCATGGAGACCTCCAATCAGCAGCTTCCACGGTGTGCTTGTAGCTTGGCCTTCAGATAGACACAACAAGGGAAAAGTACTGGCTTCTGCACATTGATAGAATGATGAGTTTAACTTTAACAAAAGTTGCTTCAAAGTGTTATGAAATCTCATAATCTGTTCAGTATTTTCACATAATTGTGTGATTGTGAGGCATTAAAAGCCACCAAATGCAACGGGTCCATCAGACCCACGAACATTGGCTGAGTAACAACAAAATGAACTTTACACAAGGGTTAATATTACACACAATCTAACATAACATATTATAACATTGTATCCTTTAAATCATTATTTGGAGGAGAAAGTCTCCTTTCCTGAAGTTCTAGCCCACTCTTAACCACTCCCACCTCTCTCTGCAGCTCTAATCACAGCTGAACCTACACACCATTTACATGAGCTATCTTTAGCTCCTGATGGTACATATTCCTATCTGTGCCGTGTTAATTACACCATCATTACTTGTATGTGGAGAGTAAGGAGGCTTTATGAGACCACTGGAACCTCCTCGATGGTCAAAATGCAGAGCTAAGGCCCAGGCTGGCTCGGGACACACTTTGCATACTTTGCCATCTGTTGACACATGCAGCTGTTTAAAAATAGCAGTCCACCAGAACCTTCCCCCTGCAGAGTGGTCCCTGGTCTGTGGGCAAAGGAAAGACAGCTCACTTCTTCATGAGTCTGACAGAGGTGTTTGGATCCCTGCGATGACCCCACGTTGGTCTTCCATGGTTCTGGATAAGCTGAAGATCACTGGATTTCACAAGTGAGGAAAAATCAGATGGTTTCAAACCTCTTGAGAGCTGGCATGTTGCTGCATGACAATGGCTTTTTGAGATAAATGTCTTTTAACAATCTGTTCTTTCTGTAACTATGGGTTAAAAGAGTGAATACGCCATTATCTGTTTAGTCTCTTTACTTAGAAATGACTTAAACAAAACAATGTCCTCCAGTCTTTTCCTAATAGATTACTAATATACTACTACTAATATATATATATATATATATATATATATATATATATATATAATATATATACCGGTAAGTAAAGTTTTAGTATAGTGTATAATAGTGCATTGCATTGATCCAAATATATATTTTTGAGATATGCACACTTGAAAATGAATTAGAAATTACTATTTCAAAATGTTGGTCCTTTTTCATATTATTCAATATATAAATGACAAAGCGTTTTAAAAAATGTTTTAACTAATACATTTCTTTGGGAATGTCTGTATGTATTCCTATAGAGGGAGATGTAGCATTGATTCCAATCACACACAGAAATATCACTAAAGGATGCACCCCATTGTCAATTCAGTTTAATATGCAATTTAAAAACAAAATAATTTTACAATAACAATATCATTTTTTTCCATAATGAATATGGCAATTTAACTTCTGAATCAAGACACACATCTGATGATAGTACTTTATGTTTGTAATCAGGATCTCCAATCAGAGGCCCCACCACGTCCATGGAGCCTCTTTCAGATAAGTTTTTGGAATTCCACCCCATCCACGGCACCAACGTGCGACTGGATTACTCGGGCACCCAGGCCACCCGAGTGGAGAGCTTCGCCAACGGGGTGTGCTTCAGCAAACACCCTCTGAACCCAGGGGAGATTTTCCTCATTGAAATCGAAGACAAAGAACTGGGATGGTGCGGCCACCTAAGGATCGGCCTGACCTCTCAAAACCCCAAAGACTTAGAAGTGGTGCCGGAATATTCCATACCGAATTTGACAGACCAAGGGGACAGCTGGGTGTTTGCCATAACTAGAAATCACAATAAAGTTACAGAAACGGATCCAGAGGGCGCGGCGCAGGATGGTGGGCAAAGGCTTGGACGTGAGGAACCTGAGGAAGTGCAAGAAAACTCTAAACCCAAATCCTTTTTCACGGACACTCACCTGTTTGTCGAGAACGTCTGCATCCCTAAAGACAAACTGGTCGGGAGGAGTAGGCCTGGCCGCTTCTCTCACATTTTGGACGATTTGTATAAGTCTAACGCGCTCCCTCCGACGGCCAGGCGCAGCAGAATCGGAGTGATGTACGTGCCGAAGGGGAAAGACCTGGGGAACATGCACATTATCATCAACGGAGAGGACATGGGCGCCTCAGCCAAGGGCATTCCCACCATCCAGCCACTCTATGCCGTCGTGGACGTCTTTGCTGCGACCAAATGTGTCCGGATTGTTCAGGTGGAGTACGGATGTAAGTGCTTAGATTTGTTTTCTTTTGGTTTTCCCAGTGACATGACAGTTGGCCTTGTCAAAACAAAACATTTGAAGTGTGATAAATATGTTACACACCCACTCATAGAACTTTTCATGTATGTATTTTCATTATAAATTACATCTAGTTTGTATGTGTGTGTCCACAGATTATAGGTCAGCATTTCTTTACAAAAGTGGAGTTCATCAATGGACATGATGTCCACAATATTTATGTTTACAAATTTCAAGCGGATTATCCAATCAGAGAACAGAATGAGATTTTTTCACAACCAAAAAAAAAGCACCACACATTTGTTTAAATGGAAGCAAAACAAAAACAGTCATGCGTAATATAGAGTTTGTACAGTTTTAGCAAAACCCCAGCAGGTGGATTGCATCAGTGATCATTAGGAGCTGTATATGTACTACATATTCCCTTTAACATTATATAAGTGCAGCAGATGATAAAACACTTTCTACAAATGTTTGAGGACCCTTATTGCTGGATATCTATTTTGTATTTATCTGAAGCTTTAGTAATGTTTGATGGTGAACTTCACATCTTCCGCTGAATGTGCACCTAATGCATGTGCACGGTCCTTATAAGACCATTATAAGCATCTGCGGAGAGATGCAGAGGATGCGAGTTCAAGTCTCACCTGGAAGAGGAGCTTTTATAATTTTGAAGGAGTCTATCATACGCTGTTTGAAACCCCAAACAAAGCCTTGATAATGCTACATACTTGTGTACAGTATGTTTAGGGCAGAGAAATTTAAACAACTTTTTAGATGGAGGCCGGCCTTTTCATCCACGTAAATGTTGTATACGTTTTTACCTTGATTTCCAGACACTAATAACTGTATTGTAATTTTGGCAGTAATTCTGTAAGTCTGACAACCTCATCCCCTGCTGCTACATTCCTGCACAGCGTAAAACACTAGTTTTCAGCATTTGTAATAGATCCATGGTCATACTATTCTCCAATATGTAATTTAGTAAAGACAAAAACATTTTTGAGTTGCTGTTTACCATAATAATATGTCTTACCTTCAATAATGAGCTGTCGTGTCTTTCCTGTCCAGTCTCGTCCTTACAGACGCTGTGTAGGAAAGCCATTCAGAAGAACATAGTCCACAGAATGGCCATCGACTGGCTGCAACTGCCGGACGCTCTTAAACACTACTGCAAGTACGAGTGAACCGCAGCATCTGCAGACAGACAACTCTAGTTTTGTTACATAGTAGCATTTGTTTACTCCCTTTAGTGACGCAAGCAATAAAAGTCTATTCTAAACTACAATTGTTGTGTTTTATTGAAGAGGATATAACAGGTTTCCACCTATTTATAATTCAATCTGAAGAGACCAAAGACACGATAAATACATTTAAAATGATTTATTTGTTTGGCGCATTGACCCCGGCAGTGACACTTGCAGCTATGAGATCGATTGCAGCTGAGATGATCTCAGGTCCCCCGGGGTCAATCACTGGTGGTGGCTAGAAGCATGGTGTAAAAATGGGGCGTAGGTGGAGCAGAGCCGGAACAGAAGCCAGGGCCAGAACCGGAGCCAGAGCCAGAGCCAAAGCAGGAGCCGAGGGGGTTGCTGGGGAGGTGGCGGGTGTTTAGAGCTTTCAGGAAGCGCTGTTTGTCAGGAAGTGGCTGCCTTTTAAACTGCCCGCTTGGTGCCAGGGTGTTGGCCGGGCTGTGTGATTGGCTGAGGCTCGAGGCTGGCAGAGCTGTTTGATTGGCTGAGGCTCGAGGCTGGCAGTGCTGTGAGATTGGCAGGCACTCGGTCTTTCAGTCTGAACATCCGCTTGAGCTTCATTTCAATCTGAAGAGACCAAAGACACGATAAATACATTTAAAATGATTTATTTGTTTGGCGCATTGACCCCGGCAGTGACACTTGCAGCTATGAGATCGATTGCAGCTGAGATGATCTCAGATCCCCCAAAAGAGGAAGCCGCGCTATGTGTGCCGGGGAATGCGCAGGCCTCCCGTGGGAAGCTGCCTATCTGGAGGCGTGGGAGCCTTGCATAGGGGCAGCATTGCATAGGGGCAGCATTGCATAGAGGCAGCATTGCATAGATTGCATGGAGGCAGCATTGCATAGATTGCATGGAGGCAGCATTGCATAGAGGCAGCATTGCATAGATGCAGCATTGCATAGATTGCATAGAGGCAGCATTGCATAGATTGCATGGAGGCAGTATTGCATAGAGGCAGCATTGCATAGATTGCGTGGAGGCAGCATAGCCTGGAGGCAGCATTGCGTGGAGGCAGCATTGTGTGGAGGCTGCATTGCATAGATTGCATAGAGGCTGCATTGCATAGATTGCATAGAGGCTGCATTGCATAGATTGCATAGAGGCTGCATTGCATAGATTGCATAGGGGCTGCATTGCATAGATTGCATAGAGGCTGCATTGCATAGATAGCATAGAGGCTGCATTGCATGGAGGCAGAATTGCATGGAAGCAGCATAGCCTGGAGGCAGCATTGCGTGGAGGCTGCATTGCATGGAGGCAGCATTGCCTGGAAGCAGAATTGCATGAATAGGATACAGAGAATATGCGGGGGTGACAAATCCGCACGCTCTGTAATGATTATGCGTGTGTGAAGCGTTGGCCCTTGGAGCGTGCGGAGGGTTTCTCGCGCACAGACCGCTTCGTGAGGGTGCATGTATGACGTAGGCCGCAGGGGATCTGTGGGAACAGACACTCACTGAATGAGCGGCTATGTGATCATGCGTGCGTGGTGGATGCATGAAGTGAAGAGTAAATGCGTGTAATCGCAGAGCTGATGCGGGCTCTGCGTGTTGAGAATGTGGAGCAGCAATGTAGAGAGCTTTCTCATACAAGATCTGCTATATTTGAGCATGCGTGTGTCAGCGTATGATACAGAGAATATGCGGGGGTGCCGAGTCCGCACGCTCTGTAATGACTATGCGTGTAGAAGCGTGGGCCCTTGGGGCGTGCGGAGCTGCCTCTCGCGCGCAGGCCGCTTCGTGATTTGCATGTATAGCGTGAGCCGTAGGGGGTTATGCAGAGAAGCTTCTCTGCACAGAGCGCTGCGGTGAGCATGAATGTATGATGTAAGACAAGTGATTATATGTATGTCTGGTTTGAAATGAAACAGATGTCGTGAATGCTTTACGTGAAGTAATCTAGCCAGCACCAGAGTATTTAATAATTACCTTAGATTGAAGAGAGGGAGCGCTGAGCGGACAGTATGGACCCAGTGTCAGGTCGAATATATGATGAGAAGGCCGAGGAGGACCATCGCCCCAGCTGCTGCAGAGAGGAGTGGGGAAGGCCCAGCGAGGCCGCACGAGTAGCAGCGCCTATTCTGAATGAATGGCTGGTGTACTGGAGTGGAGAGAGATGGCAGGCGACCAGTAGGGATTTAAGGTGAGCTCGAAACCATTGAACTGACATGATGTTGTTTTCGGGGGTGAGAAAAAGCGGGCCGGCTGGATCTTTTCTCCTGGAGCGAAGGCGAGAGTATTCTGACATCCTTTTATACGGACAACACCGATTGGGCGAGCGAGCGATGACGATGTTGCAAGCGCCTTTTATTTTAGAGTGTTTGAGGTGGATATTATAATGATCTGGGTAATAGGTAAGATCAGAAAAGGCCAGGTCTCGGGAAGGATTAAAAGTAGCAGATGCAGAGGCGAATTCGCTTACGCGGAGAAATCCGAAAAAAGCGAGAAGGAACACGCTGGATAGGAGGGAGGCTAAGTACTGGGAATATTTAGGAGAGTGTATCTCGGAGAGAAGGCGCTGGAGGATAATCATGGAGATGGGCAATCTACGGTCGGGGGAGCGTGGAGAACGGTTAGTAATGCCTTTAAGTAGGAGTTTAATAGGTTGAAATGAAACGATAGAGGGAAAAGAGGGAATATGGCAACGGGCGTGGAACTGAAGGCCAGAAAGTAGGACGCGTATGTAAGTGGGTTTGAAAGCAAGGATTTCTGAGCAGTGAACTATGAAGGCGCAAATATTGTTGATAGAGAGAGGAAAAATGGGAATATTATGGAAGCTGCAGAATTTAGCGTAGACTGACAATGCGAAGTTGTAGGTTTTACGGGTAGAGGTAGAGAGGCCTAATTGCATGTAGGAAGCGGCGGAAGAGAGAAGAGGGCGAAGTGATGGAGCTAGTCCAGGGAGAGGAATTCCGTAGGAGGGATGACGCATGGCTCCGAGCGGGCTGAGGGGCAGAGTCGCCGGAATTCCTGAAATTTAAAGCGAGAAAGTGAGTCTGCAATGACGTTTAAATAACCAGGGACGTGGCGCGAAGTAATGATAAAATTATTAATGACGGAAAGCCAGGTGACGCGTCTTAAAATCGACATGATTTTTGGGGAAGCGGAGCGGCCTTTATTTATTATGTCCACCACTGCTTGATTATCACACAGAACAGAAATTCTTTTCCTTTGCCAGACGTGGCCCCACAGAGAACATGCTACTGCTATTGGGAAGATTTCGAACAGCGCCGAAGATTCTTCCTTTGGGAAGTCTTGGGGCCAGTGTCCAGCGAACCACTGACCTTGGAAAAAACCCCCAAAACCCACGGACGGGGCAGCGTCCGTGCAGAAAACAGAGATCATCGGAGGAGGAGATGATATCATCGTAAAAAAAAGAAACACCGTTCCAGTGGTCGAGCAAATGAGACCAGAACCCGAGGTCAGAACGGCACCCGTCGTCGATGATGACGGAATCGGACAGTGAGGGCACGGAACTGGCGAGGTCGAGGAGCCTAGAAATAAACGACCGGCCCTGCGGGACGATGCGCATTGCAAAGTTTAAGTGGCCCAACAGGGAGAGTAGCTCGCGTTTAGACAGTGACGTGGATGACAGTACTGACCGGGAGATCGCGCGAATACGCTCCAGCTTCTCCGGCGGGAGAGAGGCCTTCATCCCTAGCGTGTCCAGCGAGATCCCGAGGAAGTCCATGCGGGTCGCGGGGCCTGCAGTCTTTTCCGCGGACAGGGGGACCCCGAGGGCAGAAAAAACGAGCCGGAGTTTTTTAAGGGAATCGCCGGAACTGTCAGCGGGAGAGTCGACCAGGAGGAAATCGTCCAGCAAGTGAAGGACCGAAGGCAGCCGCACGCAATTCAACAGGATCCAGCAGAGGGCCTCCGACAGCATGTTGAATAGGGCCGGGCTGCTCCTGCACCCGAAAGTGAGGCGCACTGCGAAATAGAACCGTGCGTCCCACTTAACCCCGAACAAGTGCCAGTGCGAGGGGTGAATGGGCATGATCTTAAACGCGTCTGTAATGTCGGCCTTGGACAGCCAGGCCCCGCTGCCGAAAGACTTAATTAGCCTAATTGCATGGTCCACGGTGGCATACTGCAGGGAGAATGGCTCGGGAGGAATGAGGCTATTCACGCTCTGAACGGGCCCGGAGCGGGGATGAGAGAGGTCGAACACTAAGCGTTTCTTGCCCGAGTACTTCCTGGTCGCGATGCCCAGTGGACTGGTACGGAAACGACGGAACGGAGGCTTCGCGAACGGGCCTATGACGTAGCCCTTAGACACTTCCCGGGCCAGCAACTGGGTCACGATCCCGGGCTCGGAAAGAGCAGAGCGCAGATTCCTGGAAACATAGGAGGAGGGAGGCAGAGACCTGACGCCCACGCAGAACCCCTGGGACAGTCCGGAAAGGAGAAAATCAACGAAAACTCTATCGGGGTGGAACAGCAGGGCACGAGCGAGCTGGGGCACAAGGACAGGCGTAGACGGATGCGAGCTGGTTAATTCTTGAAGGAAGAATTCTTGCCGGGGACCCTTTTCCTTATCAGCCTGGGGCATACAGAGCGCGGATGCGCCTCCCTGCAAAAACTGCAAACATGGAGAAAAGCGCAGCGTTGATAATTACACACACTCATGTTAAAATTAATGCAGATTGGGGCAGGGTCGGCCACCTCGGCCCCGCGGCCTCGCCAGTCACTGGATGAAGGCCTGTACGAGGGGCGGGGGGGAAGCGGGGAAGGCTGCATGGAAGGGCGCCCGCGGGGTTCATTGAACGGGACGCGGGGGCAAAGAGAGGCGGGATGGCCGGTGTTGCCGCACAGGGAGCAGGAGACCACGGAGGCCCCCCCGCTGGAGAGCAGCAGGATCTCCGTGTCCAGAGCGGACCAGTCCACTCTGACGTTGGCCTGGGAGATGAGCGCTGCTGCCCTGGACGCGAAGGCCACGTGGTAGCGGTAGAATGTAGCACCGCTGTATTTCAGTGCCAAGTCCCCGATCAGGCCCAGATAAGAGTCGAGCTCGGCCCTTCGCTCTGGGTAGGGCGAGCAGATGACGTCGCGGTAAATCCCAAATGCCACCAGGAACTCCCCTATCGTCAGATCACGGGACAGGCGCGGGTCCGCGGACTTGATGACAGCCGCGAACTGGTCCGAAGCGGTGACCTGCCTGTCACACTCGGGGGAAGGGAGGATGAGGGAGACCAAATTGACATAGCGGCCTGCAAGGATTTTTGACCTGAGGCGCGGAGATATATTAGCATGTGAGTTCATGTAAGGCCTACCGGAGAGCGGGGCCGCCAGAGCCGAGGCCAGGGTATGCTCGAGGAAGGCAGGTGCCCCCGCAGGAACCAGCGGGGAGGCGGGGTGCGGGAAAGCCAGGTCCAGGGGCCGCGACTCAACTGCGACGAGGCGGTTGGAGATAGATGTAATTGAATGCTGGACAGTAGAGAGGGCTGCAAGAATTGCATCATGCTGCAGGGCGCGAGAGTCCAGGGGCAAAACCGTAGACGTCTCGTGGATCGCGGGGACCGGGGGCACCGCCGCGGAACGGGTCCCTCGAGCAGGAGCATGGGCAGACGGCCGCGAGCCCCTGGCGCGGCCTAAGGTCCGGGGAGGGACGCCAGGGGAGCCGGGAGACGCCGGAGACGGCGTGGGGAAGCGCACGGGCGAGCGTGCGGAGACGCGCACGGGAGTGCGCGTCGGAGAATCAGGCGTGAGGGTCTGGAGACGTGCCCGTTTCGCCCTCGTGTATTTGGACTTGCCCTGGCGTTTGCCCGACTGGAGCACGGGAGCTGGCGAAGAAGAGGGCGGGCTGGCGGAGAGCTGGTCGAACATGGATCGGAGTTGGAGCGAAGTCACGTCGGGACCAGGTGTCACTCCCTGAGCAGAAAGGTAGGCTCGGATGGCCCCGTCGTCCCTGGACGCCAGGCGGGCGCTTTTACGAGCAGGCGAGGGGCGGAGAGGATGAGAGGGCCCCGGAGAGGCATCGGAGTCCGACATGACAAGATCGGACGGAGGAGCAGGACGTAAATCGTAAGCTGGTACTGAATAACCGTATAACACGAGCTGTTTAGAGCTTTGTTTAGAGCTTTCAGGAAGCGCTGTTTGTCAGGAAGTGGCTGCCTTTTAAACTGCCCGCTTGGTGCCAGGGTGTTGGCCGGGCTGTGTGATTGGCTGAGGCTCGAGGCTGGCAGAGCTGTTTGATTGGCTGAGGCTCGAGGCTGGCAGTGCTGTGAGATTGGCAGGCACTCGGTCTTTCAGTCTGAACATCCGCTTGAGCTTCATGTGACTAAATAGTAGTACTTTTAAGAAATATGATTGCTATCATTATTACTATCATTATTATTATTATTTCTATTATTGCAATTATTATTATTATTATTATCTTTATTATTATTTTTTATCATTGTTTTTACATTTAAACTTTTTCACTTGCTTGCACTGAGAGCCAAAGTAATTACCTAGTTTGTGACTTCTAGGAAATTGAAATCACAAACTACTTTTTTGTTACTCACAATTGCCATCGTCAGACAAATCATGTAAGATCAAAATTTCAATATTGATCTTACGAATATCATAAAAGGAACAAGCTGCACTCTGGCGCTTCCGTACTGTTTCATTCTGTGCTCTGCCCTTTTATATGAGAACAGAGATGTCCTCAAACAAAATGCGTAATCCACATGGCCTTGTATCAGTCTGGAATTGGTGTTTTTAAAGTTCCAAGGGTGCAATCAGTCCGGATGCGGTACTGCAGTGACTCGCAAAGTAATAATGAGGTTGCGAGTTCGAGCCTCATCTGGAACACGACGTATAATGTTCCTCAAAATACGCAAAGAATCAAAACGTACATTCATCTGGACCCTGTTCACTGAGATGAGTGAACAGTGTCCTCTGGTGGTAGTGGGCACTTATTGCAGGAGGCGGAGCGTGCGTAAAGCTGTAGAGATCACGCACAGACCAGTGGACCACTGTGGATAGATGACTCTCCGTTGTCACAATATTGATATAATCGTTTATTAAATACACTCAACATGTCTTTCTGTCAATTTTTTGGCGGTGAGAAATACAAGGACCACTTCAAACCAGGTAAGATGGAATGCGATCTAACGTTGTTTCGACGTGGATCAGCTTAAAGAGGACACAGTCATCGTGTTGTGTCATACCTATGGGATGTTTAACCTCAATATTACAATAAGCAGGTGACAATATACATTTATATATTCCAAAGCCAGGACAACAATTAGGCTATAATTAGCCGGCTCTGGTATAATATAATATATATTTTTTACGTAATTTAGAAATGTCCCATCTCATGTGCTCATGCAATTTGTTTGATGATGAATAATACGGACCTGTACGGAAGCTTGTTAGGTTCACTTGTGAGTGTGTTTTTTCCCCCCGCTGGTATCATGTTATTTCATGATACTTTCATGAAATAACATGATAAATATCATGTAATTTCATATACCAATTTATCATGTTATTTCATATACCAATTTATCATGTTATTTCATATACCAATTTATCATGTTATTTCATATACCAATTTATCATGAAATAACATGATACTGTAGATACAAAAGAAGAAGAAGCTGTCAGCTTATGATAAATTGGTATCATGAAATAGCATGATAGTTGTGTATCATGAAATTACATGATATTTATCATGTTATTTCATGAAAGTATCATGAAATAACATGATACCAGCGAAAAAAAAACATTCACAAGCGAACCTAACAAGCTTCCGTAGACCTGCACTTTATCCACGTGGTGAAGATTTCTGAATCGTTTTAAAGGCGTGATGTTTTCTCCCTGATGTGACCTTTACAGTCCATGATGTGACCTGACAGTGGTGCCGAGTTGTGAGTTCGAGCCGCACCTGCAGCAAAGCGGTGTGACTGTAGAGTCTTAGTGAACAGCAGAGCTGTAGTAGTTACCCTTTTATCAGAGAAAAAGCCTTGATACACTACTCATGTGCCTAGTAATTATCAGGACATGAAATGCATCGGTTTTATTTATCGCTTTTTTGGACACTCAAAAAAGTGCTTTATGTCATTATTCTTTCACTCCATACTTGGTGGTAATAAACTACTACTGTAGCCACAGCTGCCCTGGGGCACACTGACAGAAGCGAGGCAACCAGTATGTGCCATTGTCACCTCCAACCATTCACACACACTAGAGTCATTCAATGGGGGTGAAGTGTCTTGCCTAAGGACACAACAACAGTTTGGCACTTTACAGCCGCCCCACTGTGGCATCTGGTGTTGCCAGAGGTTAAGTGTCTTGCCCAATGGCACAACGACAGCAGACCTCACTGTCGCCCCACGTTTCAGTAAATATTGAGCCAGCCTTTTTGGATGTTTTCCTGTGTTACTTGAATTTGATTTTTAATGTTGTTATATTTTTGTGCATGTTTTTCAAAGATGTGTGAAGCATTTTACAAATAAAAAGCTGCTATTTTGATCTACATTATCTCCATCTATAGATGTCCTGGCAAGAATAACCTTGCAGATCATTTTGTGTAAAAATGATTGATTTTAAAGATATTGTGACAATATTGTTATTGGGAGTTGGGAAAAAAATATCGAGATATTTATTTGTGGCCATATCGCTCACCTCTATTGATAATGCACACTTTTTCTGCACTTGTCTCCAGGTATGTACGTGTGCTCCCAGTGCAGCCACCCCCTGTTCTCCAGCCGCTCCAAGTTTGACCACTCGTCCCCATGGCCCGCCTTCACCGAGACCATCCGAGAGGACAGTGTGACCAAACACATGGAGAGCCTGACCGCCTTCAAGGTTGCAACACTATAACAACATCCAAACTGAAACATTGGGCCTGTTCTAAACGACGCCTTAACTACTTTAGGTTTTATGTGGAAAATGTGGCAACGGCCTCGGGCATGAGTTTGTAAACGATGGCCCGACAGAAGGGGTGTCCAGATTTTGAATATTCAGCCACTCACTCAAGTTTGTCCCCAACAAAGGTAACAGCAACATTATTGATGTGTAAATCTATTGTGAGATGTGTCAGTACAGACCAGGGATGTAGCAATTTAAAATGTAGAAACTTCCTCAAAAATGTTTGAAAAGGCAAAAGATGTTTTACAAAAGTATTTTCAAGCAAAAGATTAGGCACATTTTCCAAATAGAAATGATAAATGACAGAGGATAGATTAGGATTAAATACAAACTATAAATGATAAATTATCAGTCTTTGTACAATATATGAATTAAAAGGTACATTTCGAAAGGGTATTCAATAGTTTTATTTGAATATGATGTAACCCTTCATGTTTGTCCCAGAAGTTCCTGACAGATCTAAAAAACACTTTTAATGAGGAAATAATGTTGAAACATGGCTCCCTCAGTGACTTACAAACGACAGTGACTTAAACTTTAAGTTCTTTTAAGTTGATTCTATCATGTTATATAGATGTTTGCGTAAATATTTGTACTGTTTGTATAATGACTACGTCTTCCAGAGTTGTAACAGTGAATGTGAATTATGTTGTGTTTCCAAAGGGAACAAACAGTAATGGGCGAGATGGCGGCCGCACACTTTGGCCTTTGCTGCTGGTCCTGGAACAGAGCACTGGTGGGTCAGGGAGTGAAGTGGGCAGGATCAAGCCTGAGCGGGACGTCCTGTCAGCTGAAGAGTCTGGCCCCACTGTGACCCTGTCAAAGGACCACACTTCATCAGTATTAGATTATATTTCATATACAATACTCTGGGACAAGAAGAGTATGTAGCATTATTATTTGTTTACTCCTGCAGTGTTGGTTCTGATCTGGATCTTGTTTAACATGTGGTGATGCGCTTGCACAAATCCAGGAGCAAATATGATGAATAATTTACATAACCAGTCATTAACCTACAGATGGGTCCAGGAGTGTGGGTTTAACTCTCTGCTGCTTCCAATGTGAATGTTCCTCTCTTTGCTCACAGAAACACCCTCTGATCCGGCCTCTGAGTCGTGCTACGACACCTAATACTGTGTATGGAGCAAGTTTCCTTATGTTTCGTTAAAAGTTCAAATGTAAAGTTATATTAATGCTCACTGGCCACTTGGTGATGTCATCATGAGCTGATACAGAAGCTGGTTCCAGAAAATTCTTAAAACCAACGAAATAGTTGTTCTGTTTGCAGTGTTTCAGCGATGCAGTGTGTCACAGGCCGTGAGTTTGATTTGAAGAATAGCGTTCTCAACCCATTGCATGATTTTCACCTCAAAAAGTTTCATTAGAATTGAATTGTGTGCCCCCGTATTGCAATCTCTTCTGAACAGAGACGAGCAGAGTGATGCTGAAGTTTTGAGTTTGAGCGTCGCTTGAAGCATTGTATGATCCTTTAACCTTTAGAAGAACTGGTATTCTTTAGTTGTTAGACATTGTAATCATCCATGGATAATGATGAAGAAATATGCTACAAATAAAATCTATTTCAGTAAGTATGTGTTATAACTACTTCAGTCCAGAAGATGGAGCCATCAGAGCGTTTTACCACCACGGGTTCAGAATGAGCCGATTTGGAGATGAGAGTATAAAGTATATTTAATGTCACAAGGTGAATGATCAATGGTTCCAGGAGCATCTGAACATCTGAACAATATGATGGATGACCAGTATTGTATGTATTATGAGATTAGTCATCAATCTATATTACTTTTCCTGACTTGGACACAATTTATTATTTTGACTATGAGGTCGTTTTTAGTTTAATCTCAACAATAGAATTCTCCTCATGAGCCTTACGCTGCTCCATCGTAATTATGAGCCCCACCACCATGTCCAGTAAATGGATCATTATCATGTCTAGGATCCCAGTGCATATAGAAAATAAAAACACTGCACAAAGAAAAAAGAGAATGTTCAAAAGAATGTAACCGTGCCTTCCGAGCCTATCCAGCTCGGAAGGCACACACATTCTGTTGTGGACATGAAACAACGAGGAAAAGACACCTCTATAAAGAAGCGGTTTTACAGGTGCTGACCACATCCCTCTCCTCATTCTTCCAACACTGTGTTTTATTTTTGTCACACTCTAATAACTCTTTGGTTGAGAAGACCACCCATCGAACTATCAAGCCGATAATAGTAGTGTAACTAATATTAGTCCGAGATTTACCAATCTGTGGGTTGTGATGTTTCCATGGGTCAGAGATTGCACACTTTGTACCTGCATATTATTCACTTTGACATGTTATGCACGGGGCACTTTTTAACTTTGAAACCACAAAAATAGAACTATGTGATAATATTCATGTACTGTAGGTCGTTCCTTGCTTTCAAAACAGTTTGGTTCTATCATTTTTTTCACATGCTTAGATCAATGTTTTCAGACAGGAAATTGAAAAAGCTGAAAAATAAATAATACTTCTAGGGCTCTGTACACATGCAAAAAATAACAATAGATATAATATAGTAAGGCTAAGACATCATGATGTGGTATAATTTGTTCACATATAAGTTTGGAACAAGTTCATTATTTTGAAAAGATTGATAGTTTTAAATCCAGCATGTTATTTATGATAATGCATCTGCAGTGGTGCAGTCGGTCACAGCGCAGCAATAAGATGGTGGTGTCCAGGTTGTGAGTTTGATCTTCACATCTTAATTGTTGCAGTCTCAGTATTGTCAGTACTGAGTATTGGATGTAATTTATATACAATTGTACTCACTGTGGTGATGATCCTGGAAAACAGTATCACTTCAGAAGCTAATATATTCATAACAGAGTACAGTCACGACTAACTCAATCATGAGTTATCATCAGATTATAACATCTAGAATAGAACCAGTCATCCTCGCCTGCACCATCAACACTCACTGTGAATTAGGGCGACAGTGGCTCAGTTGGTAAAGCATTGACCTGTGAGCCTGAAGGTCGTGGGTGCGAGCCCACCACAAGACTTTCTCCACTGACTCCCACTGATGTCTGCTGCCGTTGTGTCCTTAGGCAAGACACTTTACCCCCATTGCCTAGAATGATTCTGGTGTGTCTGTGAATGGTTGGTGGTGGTTGGAGGTGACAATCAATCAATCAATCAATCAACGTTTATTTATAGAGCGCCTTTCCTACACAAGGCAACGCAAAGCTGGTTGCCTCGCTTCTGTCAGTGTGCCCCAGGGCAGCTGTGGCTACAGTAGTAGTTTATCACCTGTGTGGAGTGAAAGAATAATGACATGTGAAGCGTCTTTGAGTGTCCAAAAAAGCGCTTTATAAAACCAATGCATTATTATTATTACTATTATCTGAGCAGTGCCACAAGATTAACCTCACTTATTGATGCACCGCAACCTTTAGAGCAGGACATGGATTTAAAAAAACAATTACATTTATTTAAGTAAGTTTGTTCGAACTACTTTTGTCCAGAAGATGAAGCCCCACATCAGAGCATTGTGCAATCACTGGCACAGAATGAGTCTATTTGGAAATGTCAGAAAATATAACGCGTCAAACATCTATTTACTGTGTATATTATTCCTACTACAGTCTATTTTTATAACGGGCTCCAAAATCATATTCCTCATACTTATAAACCCCAGAGGGAAAATGACAGATCATCAGTACCCAATACAGACAAACAAAATAATAAATAATACTTTCTCGTCTAACGCAGAGTCTTCTTTTCTTCATGAGTGTGACAGTAATATGTGATTATTCCCTTATTCCCATCCCTGCTCCTCACTGAAGCCATCGTCAGGTGTTGGACCTAATGTCCTGTCTCTTTGACTGTAACTCTAGGCCAAGGAACCTACTGCAGCTGATAAATGCTCTTCTCTCCATTGTACATTTCAATCTATAAATAATGCATGTAATATGTTATCATTAAAAATAATGTCACGATATACAGTATAAAACTGAGCTGTACAGAATATTTTATATTAATGTTTCCTTAGGAAAAAATATAGCTTTTTATGCTACTGTTATTACTTTTTGTCTTTATTTGATGTAAAATATGTTAATATATGTTGTATATCAATATATTTTGTATTGTTATTTTTCTTACTTTTTTCTACCTGAGATGTTGCTGCAGTGTTCATGGTTTTACACTGGTCCAGAGCGGAGCAAAGAGGATTCATGGTTTTACGGTCTAGACCAGAGCAGAGAGGATTCATGGTTTTACACTGGTCCAGACCAGAGCAGAGAGGATTCATGGTCCGAACCAAGAGGATCAGGTGAAAATCCACTGGAGGAACTGAAAAATGCTAATGAAGCACAGAGAAAATGGTCCGAACCAAGCGGCTGCTCCTCTGCTGCTGTGACCTGAAGTGCTGTTGCTTATTATTACTATTGTTACTGTAGCTTTTTATAATGAACAATTAATGCATTTTTTTTTTTTAATGGTGCAACTGGACACCTGAAATTCTCCAACGGGATCAATAAAGTATCTATCTGTTATCCATGGAGACACCTCCGCAAGTTCCACAATGGTGCAACAAAGCTGAACTAAATTAAATGCTTGTACCATTTCCCCTGGGACTGTATGGCCCCTATTGTACAGTACTGTAGGTTACTTTGTATGGTATGGTATGGTATGGTATATGATTTTCATTTTCACAGAGACAGTGTACTTGAGTGAGACGTGTTTCAAAGTATGTGTAAAACTCTTTCTCATTCTACATTTCCTTTATTGTCGTCTGACAGTATAACCACCTCATCCCTGCTATGAATGTGAATCAAAAAAAGGAGTGTCTTCTTGGCAATGAGCCTGTCTGGACCACAAATACGCCAACCGGTTCTGACTGTTCACAAAAATCCTTGTGGCATTTACGAGGCACATCAGCACTTATTTGTCTGTGTGGCCTCCACCATACACACACGCAGCTCTAAGGTGAACGAGGCCCAAAGGGAGGGGTCACCGCACCGCCTGCACTGCATTAACCCAGACCTGCAGACAGTGGAAGGGCCAGGGAGACGCGAGATGCTGGAGCTAAAGTGTAGAGTGATGGACGAGAGGATTGAGGTTATTCTGGGGATAACTGTATCTTCTAACAGCAGATTTTGTTTGTGTCAGGACCTGTGTCTTTACAGAGGCAGGGGATGGGACAGGAGAGGAAAGATGAGAAATGGAGTGCAACAGTGAAAGTATTTGTTGAGAAAGGGTTATGCGTGTGGAATTTGCATTCCCCCGTGTGTATTCTTGGTTCCTTTATCTATGCAGTGTTGGAATAACATACGTGTAATATGTAATATATAAATACATGTAATATATTATATCTGTGGGATTATCAATAATATGTGACTTTTATATTCTTTATTAAATACTGAAGCAACTTTTTTATCAAAATTGTAACAGTTTGTATTTGATGCTATTGTAGCTGGGGCACCTAACGTTAAAGCTCCACCTGTATGTGGAATACTGAGCCTGGCAGACCTCAGAAGCTAAGCAGGGCAGGGCTTGGTTGGTACTGTGATGGGGGCCACATATAGGAGCATAACTTGCCAAGTTGTTGTTCTTGTCCTTAGGCAAGACACTTCAGCCACATTGCCTAGGATGAGTCTTGGTAGTGATTAGAGGGGCCAATGGCATATACTGGTTGCCTTGCTTTGGACAACCTGCCCCAGGGCACCTGTGGCTACAGTAGTAGCTTATCACCACCATGTCTAGAGTTAAAGAATAATGCTCTGAAGTGTCTTTGAGCATCCACAAAATATCTATATAAAAAATG